GAGAACAAACGAGTCTGGTCCCAGGATTAGCGATCACTGGGTGAGACTTCTCAGATGACCCCCTACACCTGCCAGGTGCCCCATATGAAGACCAAGCCTCCTGTCAGCTACATGTTTAGGGGCCTAGGTCCAGATCATACATGCCCCTTGGTTCTTAGTCTCTGAAAGGCCCCATGGGACCGGGTTAGTTGTCTCTGCTGGTCTTCTTGTAAGGTTCCTGTCCCTCCAGGTCCTTCCATCTTTCCCCCAACATTTCTACAGAACCTCCAGAGCTCCACCCCATGCTTGGCTGCAAGTCGCAGCATCTGTCTCGATCTGCTATTGGCTGGAGCCTCCTAGACCACATTACGAGATGCCTTGGTCATGGTGTCTCTTCATCTGTAGAAACCCCAACTACAACAAAAAGCTTTAATTTCCTTCTCTGCTTCTAAACAGCTGAGGTTCTACTCTGTTGTGCACTAAAGGTAGCCAGACAGTAGAGAGATTAGGGTGACTTCACCACATTGGAGTCATCCACAGAAACTGCCTGCGCCAAGAGACGGGTTCTGTATCTGCACTGTATCTGCACTGCACTGCAAAGCAGTGGCCAGTAATCCCGCTGACTGCCGAGCCCATAGAACTGTGACCAATGCAACTGAGGACTGAACTTTTAGTTGGGAGTTCATCTCAACAGTGCCCTGGTGCTAGGAGCTACCATAGGATGAACACACCTTCTCCTGGGAATGCAGTGACTCTCAGTTAACACAAAATGAGGAACCGGTTGAGAGCTCCTTATTTTTAAATCCTAGCCTTTCTTAAAAAAAAAAAAAAAAAAAAAAAAAAAATTTGTTTCATGTATACAAGTGCCGGCGGGTGTGTATATGAAAGATTTGTGTGCGCAGTGGACTGAGGCCAGAAGGGGGCACCAAATCCCCTGGAACTGGAGTTACAAATGATAGTGGGAAGTTTGGTGTAGGAACTGGGGAGCAGCAAGTGCAGGGCTTCCCTAGTGTACAGTACTTTTACAACCCTTGTAGCACAAGAGAGAGGCATAGTACAGGTGTGGAAACCATTTGAAGTACTCACAGGCCACACCAAATGCTTGTAACGTCGGTTATTCCTAAGTGCAGAAATTATTTGAGCTGGGAGAGTGTTCCCTCCAAGTGCTAGAACATCCTTAATTTTGGATCATGAATGTTTTATCTACTCAAATACAATTTTATAATAATCTGAAAATTCGGGGAAGGGGTATAAATGCCGCTCAGACCAAAGGAAACTTTTTGTCTGTTTTTCGAGACAGGGTTTCTCTGTGTAGCCTTGGCTGTCCTGGAACTCACTCTGTACACCAGACTGGCTTTGAACTCAAGAGATCCGCCTGCCTCTGCCTCCCCAAGTGCTGGGATTAAAGATGTGCACCACCACTTCCCAGGTAGGAAATATTTTTAAATTAATGCTTACTTCCACACTTTCTCCATGGTCCAGTGACACTAGAATTAAACATTATCTTCTGTTCATGGTGTCTAAGATGGTCCCTAAGTAAGACTTTAAAATCTCAGAAGTGGTCAGTGGGATAGTTTAAGGGCAAAAACACTCGTGCAGTTTGCTTGCCTTCACCTGATTCCCGGAACCCACTCTGAAAAGACAGAACTGATTCCATAGAGTTGTTTTGAACACCCTTACACATGCACACAGCACACACAATAATGAAAATCTCAGATGATAGAACACACTGCGTGCTGCCCTACCCTACGCCACCACTCCCCACTACAAACTCCCCAGAAACAGCTACGTTTTTATTTGGACGCCTTGATGGTCACACAGTCTTAGTTCAAATGCTATCTCTACCCTTTAAGCAGCTAAGTGGCCACAATGACTCTGTTTCGTCTGCAGAAACATGAACATTAGTCTTCTGTACTGGCTCTTTCTGATTTTTAAATACATTTCTACACATAAAATCAGACATGGCAGGAAGACATGAACATTAGTCGACTTTACTGGCTCTGTGATTTTTAAATACATTTATGCATGTAAAATCGGACATGGTAAGCTCTGTAGTTGGTAACTATTAAAATACAGATTACCTTTAAGTCTCTTATGGCCCCTATGTAAACCCTGCATGTACACATCCTCTATTTTTCTCTAAAATTCTAAACTATCATGCTATTTTCAATAGGTTTTGATTTCGGAGAGAGAACTACACTCTTTCAAAATACCAGTGACACTGAGAAATTAGTTGCTCAGGAAATAAAATAGACATCTGAATTAGACAGAGGGAGGGAATTGGGAGAAGGGGTGGGAAAGGTAACAGGTGTTGAGAGAGCAGGGGTAGAGGTTATGTAAATGCAGTCATGTATGTATACATACACATGTATGTACACACACACACACACACACACACACACACACACACACACACACACGGCTGGCCTCCCTTCAGGACAGTATAAAATTCACCTTCAACCACAGCAGAGGTTGGCTCTGAGCACTGAGGGTTCAGTTCTGGCCAAGCTCAGGCTAGCAAGCAGCTCTGGGTTCAGTGCCCATCACCACACCCCCACAACAGCCTAACTAAACCAGTAGGTGGTTTTGCCACACTGTACCACAGCATATAACTATGTGACAGAACCTTTTGGATTCGTATTCTAATAAACACAAGATGTCATAACCATCTGCTAATGATTACTATTGAATTATCGTAAGACCAAGAAAACATTTATAAAGTAACAAGGATAATGACAAAATCTGTTATAAGGTGTGAACATGATGTTAGGGTCAAATGCAACATCACACAGCTCTTTAGCATATAAGAGCATACATGTTCAAAACAACATCAGTTCATTAGCGGAAAAATCCCAAATGAAGAGGTGAGCTGCTCTTACTCATGTCACACCAAGGAATAGCAAATCCTGAGGGGCCAGGACTATCTTAGTTCGTCAGTGCAGTCAGACAGAACAGTGTAATAGAAACGAAAATTTCCTTTTTTCCATAAAACCAAGTCTAGGGACACAACTTAAAAATTGCAAATATAAAAGTCAGGCCAATCTTCAATATATATGCTTTTCAAAGATCTCTCTCAGAGAAAGGATGAAGGACTCAGGGGCAACAATCTCTGAATGAATGCTTTACCTTCAATTCTTCGCTTCACTGACTTCTGACAGGTTGGCAAATTGAGGGTCATCACATTTAAGAGAAGTGTCACCAAGCCTTTACAAATGTGACCTGAGAGGATAATATAAACTCCAAAAGCCTGTGCCGTTTCCTGTAGCTTCTCTGTAGCCCCTTTTTTCTCCTCCTCCAACCCCCACGACAGCTTTGGCTGTCCTGGTGCTAACTCTGTAGACCAGGCTGGCCTTGAACTCACAGAGGCCTGCCTGCCTCTGCCTCCTGAGTGCTTCAATTAAAGGCATGAGCCACCAACACCTGGCAAATAGTAATTAAAAAAAATTAAAACCAGGAAATTTTTACCTCTTTCTTTTAAAACGAAGGTCTAGTTCTTTCAAATTCTTATTTTTGTTTTTCTCTAACTAAATATTTATCTAAGTCTTGCTTTGCTCCACAGCACTTAAACGGATGTATGTCCCAGGGATTGAACTCAGATCATCTGCCTTAGCAGCGACTGCTTTTATCGAAGCCATCTCACTGTCCCTGGTTTTAAAACTGTAATTTGGCTTTAGTTCCAAGAAGAAAAAAGCGGGGAGGGGAAGCACCCATTTCCTGGTTTCACACACACTTCCAGACATGTTGCATCCTTTTATGCTAAACCTATATAAACAATCTTTAAAATACCAGAACTGGAAAGACATACTTACAAATTATTGTTTAAGGTTACATCCTTAACCCAAATCAGATTTAAAAACTCAAAGACATATAAGGAACTGGTCTTTTTGTACATGTATGTGCATATATAGCTTCATGAGTTTAGTGTGCAAGTATGTATGGGGGCCTCAAAGGACAACCTGGGTCCTTGTGGTCACCTCGTTTGAGACAGTCTCTTTGCGGATCACCTCCGACATCTGTGCACACCAGGCTAGCCTGCCCTCGGGTTCTGGACTCTCCGCAGACTGTGGCACTTTACCCAGCATTACACAAGTTCTGAAGAATTCAATTCAAGCCTTTTGTCCTTTACAGCACGCACTTCTTCAGGCCCTAAGAAATATGCTATTTAGGATAACTTCTAGACATCTGTTGGGGGGGTCTTGAAAAAGGATTAGTTGTTGTTACCCAATTATGTAAAAATTTCAAAAGAATTTCACTAAAAGGAAACTAGCTACGACCTAGCTCTTTCCTGTATGGCAATGGCATGGAATGATGAATGACAAGTGTGAAAGGCTGGAAAAAAACTAAACGCAAAAAAGTGAGTCGTGAAGCAGAATTGCCGGGGAAGCATGCTGTCGCTTCGTCAAGCAAGTGGCTGGATGGTTTTTGAAAATGCCATTTCAATGCTGCAGGACTCAATATAATGAACTGGGGTTGTTGTGCGGTGATACAGCATTCAAGACTAAGATGTGAAAGGAACCATCAGAAGGCCTCCTAAGGACCTTTGTAACAACAGTGTTTCACATTAAGAGGCATCAGGTCATGCCTAAGGAGCAATGGACAAAGAGGAGGACAAAGTCAACCATGAATTCTATCAGACAGAGCTTATTTGAAAAAGAAAAGAGAGAGAAGAGTGGGTGAAATGCAGTCTGCAGTTGGTATCTGTGGATGTGCCTGGTCTCAGCATATTTTTATGACATTGATTCAACCTGACCCACAATACGAAAATTATTTGCTCTGCCAATGCCTCACTTTGAATAAATGCCAATTGTAACTGTGTAAAAAAAAAAAAAAAAAAGTGACTCATGATAGGGAAACGTAACTATTCAGATTTGAGGGATTTGACACTGCAAGAACAGAGAAGTAAGCTGTATGCATTACTTATGCACGCTGTGACACTGTTCCTGGCTCTGGATCATGCTCAGGCTCTGCACAGGCCAGGCAAATACTCTACTGGTGAGCTCTCCCACAGTGCAACAACTGTATTTCTTAAGATAAATAAACACATTTTATTATATTTGGGGGGAAAGGAACATATTATGGCACACAAGTGGGGTAGTCGGTTTTCTGTATCCACATGTGGGTCCTGGAGATCAAATGAGGTTGGCAGGTTTGGTGGCAACTATTCCACTGACGCCAATTTCCTATCTTCAGAGAGCCTAGGCTGTATGAGGTGAGTTCCAGGCCAGCTTGACCTCCAAAGACCCTATCTCAAGAACAAAAACAAAAGGATAACAAGCATGCTTCCCACGGCTACAAAGGCCCATCATAAATTCTCACAATTTTCCACCAAGTGTCATTTCTGGATCAAAAACTACCATAACAAATCCTTTAATCAGATATTTAGTTTTTGTTTCTACATTACAGTTTTCTGTAATTCACAAACTTTGATCTCAGGAAGTCTGGAGACCCTGAGCTCACAGGGGTGTGAATGCTGGGCACCTAGCTCTCTCATCAGCATGGCAGCTTCTGCTCCTGTGAACGATACTCACTGCTCCCACACACCTCCAGAGCCGATTGGGCAGAGCCAGCTGCGGCTTTGCACTGAGTTTCCAGTTACTAAACTGAATGGTTTTCCCCTTGAGACCTTAGAGCTATTGAGAACTATTTGCTTACATAATGTGTTACAGCCAATATGCTATGCTAAATGCCCACTTGAATGGCAATAATTTAGACGCACTGTTGGCTCTGACAGCACACAAAACCACAAGTTTCAGTGTAAGAGGTTTACTTTTCTCTCAAAGCAAAAGTACCCCACAGCTCAAATTTACATAAGTAGTGCCTTCTTTTAAATAAATTAAAACACAATGTGTCCTGCCTGTAAAGCTATAAATATTTCTAGTTCATTTTACAGAATGTTAAAACATTTACAAATGCATTATTTCCCAGTAAATAAACACTATGGCACAGAAGCCAATTAAAAAAAAAAAAAAAGTCATATATATCTAGAATTATGTCTTTAACATTACAAAAATTAAACCAAATAAGGAAAAAAGGAGAAAGAAGAAATTTTACAAAATGGCAACTACTATGATGTAAAAGGTGCTGAAATGTCTTCACCCCATTCAGTAACTGCGCCTTTTCTGGAATGAACATCTGTAGATAAGGAGTTAGGAAAGTGTGCCTCTCTGTTCGGGTCAAAACCACAAAGTATACAGAAAGTCTTTCTCAACTGGGCAGGAAAGACAGACCTTCAAAACACAGTGACTGTTTAAAAACCACACAACAAAGTTTAGCCAGAATCCTCAAGATTAGCCTTCGGTGGACTAAAGTCTTCAGTGGTTCCAAGTCCATGGGTACACACTGTACCATGTTAAGAAAGGAAGCATGATTTCACGGTTCAATACAGACTGTCTAACATGAGAAACGGTAGGTGATCTAAGCAGCCAATGTCCCTACAAGAAGCACGAAGACATGATTGGACGAAAGGAATTTTAGTTCTGTGGCCTGTTCAACTGTTCTGCACACGAAATATCCCATCCATCTTGAGAAGCACGGCTTCTGGACGGCACTGATTCCCTTTCAGTGGGGAAGACGACATCTCCACGCCCCAAGGGACTCATTCACCATCTATAGTATCTCCAGATCTACGTGCCGAACTTCAGGATTTCTTTTCTGGAAAGGAAAACATTTCCAAATTATTCACAGCTAAACAAAACCTTTTCCCCCCCTTTTTTGTCAATTCTGATCACTGGACTGGAAAAACTAAAAATATTTGTTATACTACCAAGTAGAATCTATACATAAGAAAATAAGATCACTGAGAATATACTATGGACAGCATAGGAAGTAGCCTCACCTCCCCGAACCCATTCATGTATTAATACAAAAATGCTTTACGGATCTTCTATAAGCCAAGCATGGAAGCACTAAAAACCACAATGCCCCTTTTCACAGTGAAAAAACTATCACTGCAAAACAATACCAATCAGAACTAATAAACTTATAACGCTGCTTGATACAGTTTAGTAGTCCATATGGTCTAAGCAAGCACTGTGCTAAAGGAAGCAAACACAGGTTTTTACAATAAGTCTGTCCTTGTCCAACACACATACACACTTAAAATGTAACTGAGAGTGAAGCACCACAACTTTGGAATATAACTGTAATTACACAGACATTCCCTGAGATGGTGGACTCTGATTCTAGGCAAGTGCTTGGACGAGAGGCTTACTTTTCATTTTCTTTCTTACTTACTTACTTTTTTATCTATCTATCTATCTATCTATCTATCTATCTATCTATCTATCTATCTATCTATCTATCTATTTACTTATTTATTTATTTATTTATTTATTTATTTATTTATTTATTTATTTATTTCTGAGACTGGGTTTCTCTGTGCAGCCCTGGCTATTCTGGACTTGCTTTGTAGACCAGGCTGGCATGGAACTCACAGAGATCCTTCTGTCACTACCTCCCCAGCACTGGGACTAAAGGTGTAGACTACCATACCCAACTAGGCTTACATTAATTTAACAGTGTGATTTTTGTTGCTATTGTTGGGGTTTTGTTTGTTTGTGTGAGACAGGGTCTTTCTACATAGCCCTGGCTGTCCCGAACTCACTATGTAGACTAGGCTGGCCTCAAACTAACAGAGGTCTGCCTGTCTCTGCCAGGATTAAAGGCATAAACCACAATATCCAGCTATTTGAAAAGTTCTTTACAATGAAGTGATATTAGGAAAACAAAAACAAAAACAAAAACCATGTTCTTTGACCCTAAGGCTGGACCCAGATTAAGCAGAAGAGACAGTGGAATAGTATTCACATTATATTCTTGCATCATAGACTAAATGCAGAGGCAGATAAGAGAATCTAGCTATCTGTAAGGCAGCGACTGACTTTTAATCCTTCATACTAAAGGGTTTTTGCAAAAATGTGAAGTGGCTGGAGAGATGGCTCAGTAATTGAGAGCATTTGTTGTTCTTACAAGGGACTCAGGTTCAGTTCCATGGAGCCACACAGCAGGTCACAACTGCCTGGAACTCAAGTTCCAGAGGCATATTCTGGCCTCTGCAGAGACTTTCCACATGTAGCACACAAACACAAACATACAGGCAAACGTCCATACACATAAAGTGGAAGTAAGTCTTTTTTAAAAATACTTAAAGCAATACTACTAGTAACATAGCTAATAAAGTGCAAATATTTCCAACTAAAGAGAAAAAAAAAAAAAAACAAAACAAAGAATGATGTAAGGGAATGTTTAGCACTATAAAACATGCCCTTACATTAGTTTTCAAATTTTTGACTAAAATCTGACGATTTCTTTATTTTTCTTGATAATTTTTCAATTTTTCTTCCCCCCTCCCCCCTCAAGACAGGGTTTCTCTGTGTAGTCCTGGCTGTCCTGGAACTCACTCTGTAGATCAAACTGGCCTCAAACTCACAGTTTGAGTACTGAGTACTGAGATGAAAGGCATGCACCATCACCTCCTGTGTCAAAGTATTTTCTATTTAAAGACAAAATACTTTTTACTATAATACTTAGTACTATGCCAAGTACGAAGAACAGTAATAAAAATATTGAATTTGGAGTTGAACAAGAGGTTCACGCCATTATTCTCCACATTACTGGCTGAGTTACTTAACTTCATGAATCCAACAAAGTTTTTATGGGGTAAAAGAGAGTGCACATGTATACATATGACACTTAGCATGGTGCCTACATGGAACAAGAACTCCAAAAACAGTTATCAGAACACAATTTTTTGACAAATAGATCTTACTTTCAGCTCCTTCTCAAGCCTGTCTACTTCAGCTCCTAGAGTATCAATAATGTTTTCTCCATGTTTAAGCATAAAGGCTTCTAACTGTTCAGGAGTTTTCACTTCTTGAATTTCCTATAAAGATGAAAGCAGAAAAACAAATTTAAAGTTACAATGGTTTATGCATAGTTTGTAGCACCATTACATCTAATGAAAAATAAAAAGCTTACGCCAAGGCACTGAATCACCTGCTTCTAAACAATTCCGGAAGAATGTAAATAATTCAAAGTAGATTAAGTCACAAACTGTTCAGAAAAAAAAAATGTTTTTATGATAAAAGGATTTTTTTTTTTTTTTAAACTACAAGATAAACAGCATACATAGTCTCAGGGATCCCAGCTCTGGAGGTAAAGACAAGAGGATAAAGAACTCACAGTCTCTGGGTGTAGTGGGGCATGCCTATGATTTCACTGAGTTGGAGGCCATTCTGGTCTACATGGCTAGTTCCAGGCTAGCCAGCCTACCATAGTAAGACTCTTGTCTTAAAAAAAAACAAAACAAAACAAAAAAAAAAGATGCAATAGAAACTTCTATCTGGAATGCGGGAGAGAAATGGACATACTCTGGAAGTTAGGTTGGTTCTATATATGGAAGCTGAAGAGTATGCATTTAGTAGTCTCCACATCTACCCTAAGGAGACTTACACACATGACCTACGACACAGGTATGAAATGCCACGGACGTTGCTTCTTTTTCTTTCTGAGACAGGATCTTACTACGTAGCTCCGGATGCCACAATATCATGATCCTTCTGCCTCAGTCTTTCAAGTGCTATGATTACAGTTTTGTGCTATCACACCTAGCTTGTAGCATTGTTTCTAACAGCTTAACATGAAAAAGAGCATAAATCTTCACTCTAGAAATGGGATATGCAAACTGTAGCACATCATATTGAGAGAATGCAACAGTAGTAAATGACCCCAAACCATATAAACTAACAAGGAATCTCAGACATGCTGCTATGCAGCTGTATAGTCATACAATATGAAACCATTTATATATTATAGATTTATACCATACACTGTGGAACATTCAAAATGTAATATATTATGCTAAAAACAGACTAAAACTCAGAATGAAAATGACAGGTATCAAATTCAGCATATTTAGTTTGGGGATGAAAATGAGATTTAGCTAAATAAGTAAGTAAGTAAGTAAGTAAGTAAGTAAGTAAGTAAGTAAGTAAGTAAATAAATAAATAAATAAATGAGAGAGACTTTTTGTCATGATTTCTTTTAAGACCTAAAACAAACTAGTACATGCTAGATGCCTCTAATCTGAAAATCAAAAATGTTCTGAAGTCTCCAACTCTTGTGGGCACTGACATGACACACATTTGGGCAGGGATCTAGCTCATGGTGTGGTGTGTGCACACAGCCCTATGCTTGGCCCCAGCATGTACGCTAAGGAGCAGTGACACGGTCCCCAGCACACATGGTAGGCATGGCAGCATGCCTGCAACTGCAGCATTAGGGAGGAGGATCAGAAGCTTCAGAAGTTCAGTTATCCTGAGGGACACAGTAAGTTCGAGACCAGCCTAGGCTAAACCAGACCATGTCTCCAACAAAGAAACAAAAGGACAACAACAAAGTCAAATAACAGGCCTTTTGACTTTTGGACTAGGAACATACAAATGTGTTAAAATATTAAAAAAAAAATGAGATCATAAACATTTCACGTCCCAGTGTTTTCTATAAGGATACTCACCCCGCATAGCAAATGTAAAGGTGTGACACAACCAAGTAGTAACATTTGTCCTGTTGACTGTTGGCCTCTATACATTGTCTCTTAAATTACAGCATTACCCTTTTATCTTTGAGGTTTTGTCCTAGTGTCTAGAGGCTGCTAAAACCACACAGGGAAGATATTAAATATCTTATGTTTGTTTTTTTTTTTTAAATTTACTTCTATTTTATGTGTATTGGGGCTTTGCTTGCACGTGTATCTATGTGAGGGTGTCAAATCCCCTAGAACTGAAGTTATAAGTAGTGTGAGCTGCCACGTGGGTGCTAGCAATTGAACCTAGGTCCTCAGAAAGAGCAGCCATTAGCCACTGAGCCATATCTCCAGCCCCAAGTTTTTTTTCATATAAAAAATTATCTAGGATGAAGTTGAATCAATTAAGCACATATGGCAATAATAACAAAGTAGAACTGAAATAATATACCTGTAATGTAAGTTATGTGAACTTCCTCTTCCCCTTCCCCAGCTCAGCTTGGGCAGCGCCTACAGATTGGACATGCTTGGAGAAGGGATAATTCATGTCTTGGGAACTAACAACTGTTCAGAAGGCAATTTGAAGTTTATGCTCATTTCTGGAATTTTCTACTTATCATTTTTGGATTCTGGTAACTTAACCCACAGAAAATAAAACAGTCAGGGAGATAGGTTCTGGAGTCAAAGATTAGATTCATGTGACTTCATATATATGGTTCTGAACTCTTAGACAAGCTAACTAGTGTTTTGTCTAAGTTTCCCTGAATGGTAGAATCTAAGTGTTATTTCATCACCATACAGGGCTGTTGAGAGCAAATTAATAAAACACGTAGCAAGTATTAACAACTTAATGACTAAGTTTGTTCTTTTGGCTGTCTCCTCTGACCTACTACAAATACAAAGTTCTCTCATCAGACTTGGGAACTAAGAAGTTCATAGCTCAAGTGACTCTAAGACCATAAAGACAAAAAGTGTCTTTAGAACTGTGGGCTACAAAAGAAAATGATGAATACATAAACTTACTTGCAGCATGTGGTCAAAATCTTGCTTTTCCAAATATGATCGTGTAACAACTCGTCCATCAAAATCAACTTCAGCCTTAAATCTGACTTTTCCTAATCCCAGATCTGTGGCTTTCACATCATGAATTGCCCTGCAATGAATAACAACTCATGTAAGCCTGAGTGTAACACATCCACCCTCTCTCGGCAGAAGTCCAGCTTCCCCAGCAATGCTGCAGAACACTTACCGCCACGCTCAGCACTTTTCTAGGGCCAGCCATATGTTTTGGTGCATAATGACACACAAAAGTATAAGCCAAATCAATACTGTTTTATAATACCATGTGTGAATTTTAAAGCTTGTGTATAAAAAAATTCCTAATTCCTAATTCTCTAAACTATTATCAAATTAATCTTATAAGCCTTTCCATAATCTAAACACTTGCCAATTTCCTAACATTTAAAAATCAAAATTTTTGTTAAAAACAGTATTTATGTGCGCACCAATCACACTTTTCTTCCTGCCTTCTTTTCTCTTCTGTGGTGATGAGGTTCAAAGCAGGGCCAGTGCACAGCAGTGCAAGTGAGCTACACCACAAGTGTACCAGTGGCTTGTGTGCTGGCTGGCATGCAGGGTCTTCACACAGCCCCGCAGCTACTGATAGAATGGGGTGAATCAAATGAATGCACAGGACTGGTGAGGGCAATGATGACTGAGCACATGCTCAGTGAAGCACAGACTGTAAGGCAGCCATTTAAGGAAGGCTCCAATAAAGACAAAATGCAAGGTAGCATATGCACTTACAGCAGTGATTTTCTCAAGGTCACTCAGCCAGTGCACAGGCAGAACACAGCTCCCACATTGCACATACCCAAGCCCAGGAGTCTACTGCACCTCTCTGCCTCCTACAAGGGAAGGCAGATGATGCATCAACCGCACTGTTTTCCTCCAACCCTAACTCCCTAAGAGCAAATCTTCCCTGGGGAATTGTTGAGTAAGCCTCTACCTGTGATCAGTCTAATCTACTTTAGAGAGTATATAAGAAATAAAGCCTGGGTATGGACAACATTCTTGAGCTAGAATGCCACCATAAGAGACTCTTTGTGCTATCAGAACACTGGATTCCAATTTCTGAATAATCTTGAGCACTAACTGAGTCCAAGATTTCTAATCCACAGAAAGAAGCTTTATCAACTCTCTGAGATGATCTGAGAATAAACAACTCAATAGTTATAAAGTTAAAGACACTCAAGTTAAAAATAAAGCCTGCCCAGATTGGCAAGATGGTAACTCATTTATTTACTTTTTTGCATTCCATCCTCACAAAGCACTGTGATATGTCTTTCTTTGTTTAATACTTAGATAGCAGCTAACTCTATTCTGCTGTAGCTGTTCCTTATGTCCTTGTACCTAACTGCAGATAGATCTGAGATGTTCTTGCTGATCAGTGTGTCCTTTATCCTGTGTGATCAACTCTCCTGGAATATGACCCACTTCTAGGCAGAGAACAGATACAGGCAAGAGATGAAGTGTCATTTCCCATATCAGACAGGCTGTCTGTTGCTCTTTAACTGTTCACACTCAACTCTATGTGCTCCATCAGCTCACCCACTACCATGCTGGAGTAGCAAAGGATCTAATCCTGCCAGCATCAAAGAGTTGACAAACGGCTCTTTCCCAGGACACCGTCAATGAACACCTTGACTACAGTCTGTGAGAAAGACTGAAGCAGGGAGCTGCATAAGCAGGGCCTGAATCTCTGACCACAGATACTGTCAGATAATAAATGCTGCAGATAATAAACCTCTAAGCTTTGAGATAGATGTCATACTGCAATACTGCAATAGGTAACTAATATATTGTTTAAAAACAAAACAAAGCTGCACGAACTTTGCTTATTAACGTTGATGGTTTCCATTGATATAATCCACATATCTTCATTCTTGTAGATAAATCACATATGCTACTCTTTCATCTTTTAAGATTTCTTTTAAGGGCTGGAAAAATGGCTAAGGGGTTAAAAGCACTGGCTGCTCTTCCAGAGGACCCTGGTACAATTCCCAGTACCCACATGGCAGCTCACAACTGTCTGTAGCTCCAGCTCCAGGAGATCTGATAACCTCACACAGACATTACATGGAGGCAAAACACCAATGCAGATAAAATAAAAATAAATCATTTAAAAAAGTTCTTTCTCTAGCTTTTAATTAGAATAACGGAAATAAACAAAAAATGGACAGAAATAAAGTAAAATAAACAAAAAAATGGACAGAAATAAAGTAGAAACAATAACGGCTGAAGACTTCAATAACCTTCTTCCAGAAAAAAAAGGGAGATGATCAATAGAAAGACTGAAATTTTTGAAGGCTATAAATCAACTAACCCTACTAACATCTACAAAACATGCCTGTCTAGCAGAGTTATTTCAAGTGCACATGAAATATCAACCCACACAGAATCTATGTTAGGTGAGGAGCCAAACTCAGTAAAGTTAAAAGGACAGTGACAGGAATATATGCTCTGACCACTGTGAGGTAGGAAACAAATTGATTCATAACAAAGACATTTGAGAGAGTTGCAAATGTTTAAAAACCGACATGCCCCCTAAACACACACATACACACCCCAAAAGGGAAATTTGTATGTTGGAAAAACAACTGTACTCTTATGATGGTTACAAACGGAGGATATGGAAAGCAATCTAGAAGTTTATAAATAGATAAATTGCTACAGGCTGAGAAGGGAAGGAGGAGAGGGGAAAATGGAGAGAGACTGTGATAAATGACTACAGGGATGAGTGGAATGGAAAATTAACTTAATATTCTATAGCACAGTATATACAATACTTACAAGTGGCAATAATTAGTTGTATATTTCAAAAAATGCTAGTTTGAGACGTCAAATGTTCCCAATGAAAAGAGTTAAACGTTTAAGGCAATGACTACTGGATCTGATCATTACATGCTACACACATCTGTGAAATGTTATACCTTGGTCCTTAAATCCATACAATCATCATTTTGTTAATTAAGAACAAAAAAACCTTTAAACAAGCAAAATGAGAAAATGCTTTGAGAGAAGAGAAAATGTTAGGAGAACAATGCCTGGGTGTGGAGAAAGCAAAGGCAGAGACAACTTCTATTTATGAAATGTCTGCATTAAAAAGCTAACAAATGAACTTGAAAACTTACCCTATTACCTACGGACAATGGAAATAGAGCAGACTAAACTAAAGCAAGAAGGAAGGTAATAATAATGATTAAAGAAATTAGTGAAAAGGGAGATGAGAAAACAGAGACAGTCAATTAAGACAAAATCTAGTTGTTTAAAAATCAAATTGACTCTCTGAGATAAGCTGGAGGCAGGGAGGCTACAGAGAAGACATGGGGATGTCTCTAGCTAAGCTTTCTAGCAGTGGGGGGCATGGAGACTAAGGAAGCCATCTTCTGGCCAAACAGGACTTAGAGTGGAGGGAAGAAAACAGCAATTCACCTATAAAACCTTTGACCCAAAATTTACCCTGTCTACAAGATGGGCAGAGATAAAGATAGAGCAAAAACTGAGGGATTGTCCAACCAATGCCTGGCCCAGCCTGGGTCCCACCCCATTAGAGAGCCAACCACTGACACCATTAACAAACTCTGCTATGTTTACTGACAGGAGCCTAGCATAACCATCCTCTGAGAGACCCCACCAAGCAGCAGACAGAATCAGATGCTGAGACTCACAGTCAAGCATTGGGTGGAGTTCACAAAGACCTGTGAAAGAGTCAGGGAGGCTAGGATAGAAAAATTGGGAGGGGAAAAGAACAACACAAGAAAACCAACAGAGTCAACTAACCTAGACCCATGGGGGCTTACAGAGATGGAAGCACCAACCAAAGAACATATATAGACTGCACCTAGGCCTCCAACACAGATGTAGCTGATGGGCAGTTTGATCTTCATGTGGGTCCCCCAGTGAGTTGAGTGGGTGATGTCTATGACATAGACTTTTGCCTGGTTTTGATCACTCCCCTCTAATGGGGATGCCTTTCCCAGCCTCAGTGGATGAGGATGAGCTCAGTCCTAATGGGACTTGATGTGGTAGGGTGGGTTGGGGGGAAGCTCCCCTGTTCTGAGAAGGGAACGGGGTGGGGGGGGAGGTAAGGGGTAGATGATGGGATGGAGGAACAAGAAGGAGAGAAGGGAGGGGCTATAATCGGGATGTATATAAATTAGAAATAAATTAAAGATATATTTTAAAAAGAAAACCAATTTTGATAAATACTTATTACTTTTAAATAGTGTATATGTATGTAAATATGGAGACCTAAGCTAACAGAAACAAAAAGCAATCAGAAACAAAAGATGTGACGTTACTACCAACCTTAAGGAAAACTATTTCAAAGAATCACGTGCAAAACCCCACATATCATATATGTAATAGGAATGTTGGTATAATGTTCTTGTGGAATACATACAATTTACCCTTGTTCATTCACATGCTGATTTCTCTACCCCACTATCTGGTTTCAATCCAGCATTGCATTGTGATGCTTATTCTAAGCATTGCCTGTCTCAAGTTTGTGTAAACATGCCACCATTTGTTCTCTGTATTTTCAATAAAACAACCAGCCAGTGCTGTGCAATGGAGAGAATAAGGTGGGACATCCTGGTTTGGAGGGGAGTAGAAGGAAGCGAGTGGGAGGAGTGGGAGAGCAGAGTCGGCAGGAGAGATGAACCAGACCTAAAATATGACTAAAAGAAATATAATGGGTAATATCTGGATGGGAGGAAACTATGTGGGCTTGGAGGTTTAGAATGGGGTAATCACTGCCCAGCATTGTGCTGTAGGTTAACTAAATACATACATCCTAGTCTCTGTGTGCTGATTTGAGTATAAAGCTGGTTTAAGAATAACCGTTGTTTAACTAAAAGATAAATAATAAATCTAGAAAGACACAAGTTTCTAATGCAAGTTTCTAGCTCAGTAAGAAATATCAGAGTGACTTAATCAGCAGGTCCAAGGTCCAAGGTTTGTAACACAGTAAAAAAAAATCTGTAATAGAATGTGACAAGTAAGGGCATTTATAAAAAAAACAGCAAAAAACCAAACCAAACAAAAAAAATAAATAAATAAAACAAAAACAAAACAGATTCATATAAAAAAAGCTCATGTCCATATGGCTTCACTGATAAATGTTACCGAAGAATTCTAAAAGAAATTACTGTTGGGCTGGAGAGATGGCACGGTGGCTAAGAACACTGGCTGCTCTTCCAGAGGATCTGGGTTCAATTCCCAACACCACACGCTGACTCACAGTCATCTGTAACTCCAGTTCCAGGGGAGAAATGCTTTCTTTTCACCAATATGGACACTCATGTACAGCACCGATAATACATGTGGGCAAAACACCCCCCCATAAAATAAAATTTAAAAAAGAAATAAATATCAATTCTTCATACACTTGCCTCATAACAGACTTCCCAACTCACGCTATAAAGTTAGTAGTTTAGAGAAAGTATTAGTAGAGCTTATTTCACATGAAATAACTAAGTCTAACACCAATTTTAATATTCAACTTCAAATTACAACCTAACTACTTTGTAATTTAGACATATAGATTTTAGAATGTAAGTCAAACAATTACTAATTCTGGCATACAGGACAATTTTAAAAGTTCAAGGGTCTCAGTTGTAACACCCCATGTACAGTCACGCTGGTGTGTAATTCCTCAATACAGCAGTGGAAGTTGGGGCTTGCAGAGTGGGGTTGGGTGGAGCCTTCTCAACAAGACTAGTGCCACCTCTGAAGGACGCTGAGTTCTTGCTCTTAGGACTGCAGCTCCAGGAGCCAGCTGCTTCAAGCCTTCTTCCCCTATTTTCTCTCAAGCTACATGAGCTCCTGCTGGAATGGGAACTTCCCTGCTTTCAGAACTGTGAGTTAAATAAACCTTTTTTCTTTAGAAATTCTCTACTCTCTGGTATCCTGTTATAGCAACAGAACTACACTAAAAACCAAACCAGAGAACAGACTAAAGACTTTCCCATTTTAAAGTTTGAAAAGATAATTGTATTTATTAGTTTTTCATCACTGTAGCCAAATATCAAATATAATAATTTGAGGAGGAAAGATTTATTTTTGGCCTGTGGTTTTGGAAGCTTTAAAAAAGGCAAGTGTACTCAACTACGTCTATCTTCATTACAGCATCACGACTTAGCCACAACGTACACAAGTTGAAGACTTGTATGTAGGAATCTTAGAAGGGGTTTCCTACATACACTTTCTTCCCTGAGCGACAGTCACTGTTTGTGCAAGCCACCCAAAGAACATTAATTAGCCAAGGCTGACCTTACTGATGGGTCGCTCTCCAGGAGTTCAGTAAGCCGCTGTACTTGATCTGGTTGTATGGAGCGTCCTAGGAGTGCCTCTGTGTTAGTGTAGATGAGGAATGCCGAGACCACACCTAGTAAGGTGCCCACACTCAAGGAACCCAGGCTGTCATACAATGGATTGCCTGGAAGAATCACAGAAGAAACCAAAACATTTCCTATTACTGCAGTGAGCCTTAGACAGCAAAGAACTTGAAATTTACTCCTGATTCCTTTAGTTACTTCTTTAATGACCGCTAGGGGTTTACTAGTCTGTAAAAGTAGTTGAGGCATAGTGGTGTATGCCTTTATCCTTAGCACTTAGAAGAGGTAGGTAGAGCTCTGTGAGTCTGAGGCCTGCTGGGTCACTCTAGGGAATTCTAGGCCAGCTAAGGCTTCACAGTGAGACCCTATTTCAAGAAAAAAAAAAAAACAAAAACAAAAACAAAAACAAAAAACAATAAAACTTTCTTAAAATACAAAAACAAATGCACTTTAGTGTTTGAGTGTGTGCTCACCCATGCACACCATAGTATGTGTGTGGCTCTCAGGAGAGCCACTGGGGGAACCTGATTCTTTTCTTCCACTACGTACATCCCAGGGGACAAACTCAGGTCATCAGCCTTGGCCTCAAGTGTCCTTAGCTGTGGAGATATCTCAAATGGCCCTTATTTAACTTTTAAAACAGGAACAGCAACAAAGACTTTGAGTCCAGCATTTGAGAGACAGGCAGACGGAGCTCTTCTAGGTTCAAGGCCAGCCTGGTCTAGAGAGCCAGGCTAGCCAGGGCTATATAGTGTAACCCCATCTTGAAAGAGAGAATTGTTAATTAACAATTTATGACCAACCAGGCATGGTGGCACACACCTCAGCACTCGGGGAGAGAGAGGCAGGTGGATCTCTGTGAATTCAAGGCAGCCTGGCCAGAAAGTGAATTCAGGACAGTCAAGGCTACCCTGAGAAACCTTGTATCAAAAAAAACCAACCAAACAACAACAACAAAAACCAATTTATGACCAAAAGCAGGGTAAAGATCAACCAGGACATCCACTGATACTTTCTGAACACTTCAGGGAAGGTTAGCCCTAAGAGAATCTGACCTCACAAGCTGAGTGAACACAAAATGAGTTTTCTGTTCTAATTTACCTTCTGGCCCTCAAAAGACTTAACCAGCTACCAAAATGTGTGGGGAAGAGCCTGAAGAATGAATGACTATGAAGGCAGCAGATCATTCCTGGTACCAGGAGCAAGAGCTATACATACATATTTCTCCATACATATATGTTTATTAAAGTTAGACCTCAAAGTGATGGGTTTTTCATACACATGTCATCACATCAATCCTTATTCACCTTCCCAGCCTGCCTGATGGCCCCCTCCTTCCTTCTGAAAAGCTTTCACATGAGTTCTATTACTTTCTCTTCCCTTCCTTCTTCTTTTGTAACAGCTTTTCCTCTCTGCTAATGGTGTTCCTCCTACTTTCAACACCACACACATACACACATACACCTAGATTCTGTGGATGAAAGAAAATAGGCAGTATTTGCCTGAACCAGGCTTATTTCACTAAACATGATAGATAGTTCCATACAAATATACAAATAAAAAAATTAGTATGGAATTAACATAATAATAATCTACTGGCTTAAAATTACTCAGTGATATGGCCTAATCCCCATATATTAGAGAACTGGGTAATAGAAGAAAATCATGTAAAGTTTAGGAAATATTTACCTGTTATAGAGGTAAGGCCCATGCAGGTAGCCGCTATTATCACTCCTAAGACAGCTGCAGTATCCTCCAATAGTATAACATTTGTACTTGGATCACGACTTTCCATGACTTAATCATTGGGACACAGACAAAAAAGGAAAAATTCTGAAATCTTAATTTGACAATCAGAGGTCATAAAAAGTGCTGATTTAAAAATCAATCTGTTAAATTAGCAAAAGAATGTATGAGACCATAGTTTTAAAACTTTTTTTATCTTAAGTATTAATAATCACTTGCATAGTCAAATTACCTTTCAAATTATTCCAGGCACATGCGGAAGTACAACAGCTCACCTAAGTCAAGTCTAGACAGAAAGCATCCCTGTGCTCCAATGTGTTATCCCTATGCTCAAAATTCTCTTTTTAACAAGTGGGTTTGCCTTATGAGAGCCACACAGAAAAGAAGTGAGCATGTTTTATTCCATCTATTGGTAACAAAGCAATAGCACTAAATATTTTAAGCAAATAAAAAGAAGAAATAAAAACCTAGTTCTAAACTACATACCATATTTATAAAATGTTGTTCCCTTGGCCTGAGCCTTCCTGCGGAGTTCATTTATGGCAACAAGAAGTGTTGCTGAAAGAAAAGCATCCTATCAGCAAGGAAGAAACTTCATGTCTCCAAACTTTAAAAAAGGCATTTCAAAAGATAAGTAAGTACAGCACATTAACACCATAGCAGGCAATAAGAAAACCCTATATTAACAGTCACCATGACTATTCTAATTAACCATTACAATAAAATAGATCTCCTATTTCAAATCTTATAATGGCTAACCATAATTACTACAGCAATAGCCTTTGTCAACTGAGCGGCCACTGTTGGACAGGTACTCATTAAGCATAGTCACCTCTGCTCCTCCCAATCCTTGGAGGTCTATCAATTAAGGAAAACCACATAAATATGTTCAATTATAACATGCCATAGAAACCATATTAATTTAAAAATAGATGAGGAATTAAAGAGGTGGCTTAGGGAGTAAGAGCTCTGTAATCCTGATAACTGGAGTTCAGATCTCAGCCCTCACGCAACAACCACCAGACACCCTGCAAACACCTGTAACTCCAGCTCTGAAAGATCCGGTGCCCTCTTCTGGCTTTTGTATGCTCACAGGTGCAGGCACCCACTCAAACATGCACACACACCTACATACAAATAAATACAAACTCTTTTTAAAAGATGGCTGAAGGGAATATCAAGAATAGAAAATGGTAATTGTTTAGGGATAAGAAGCACTGAGCTAGGTAGTTTATGTTTGTTTTTTTTTTTCCAGATTTAATTCACTTTATTTTTCTTGTATAAAAACCCTTATGTGGTAGCCACAGCTGGAGCCTGGGTCCTCTGAACAGAGACTCTGGTATGGGTTTTCACAAGATGATCAGTGAATTCCTGATAAGGGGACTTGGTGAACACAGTCTCTTTCCAGAGGTCAGGGGTCAGGTAGCTATAAGTCTTGGAGATGGCATCAAAGGTGGCCTTGGCAAAGTTGCCCAGGGTGGCAGTGCAGCCCCTGGCTGATGTGTAGCAGTCATCAATACCGGCCATCATCAGTAGCTTCTTGGGCACAGGAGCACAGACGATGCCAGTGCCTCTGGGGGCAGGGATAAGACGCACCAAAACAGAGCCACAACGGCTTGTCACCTTGCACGGAACAGTGTGGGGTTTGCCAATCTTGTTGCCCCAATAGCCTCTTTGCACAGGGACGATGGAAAGCTTGGCCAAGATGATGGCTCCTCGGATGGCAGTGGCTACCTCCTTGGAACACTTAACACCAAGACCAACGTGACCATTGTAGTCTCCAATAGCGTCAAAAGCCTTGAACCTGGTCCGCTGGCCAGCCCGTGTCTGCTTCTGCACTGGCATGATTTTTAGTACCTCATCCTTTAGGGATGCACCCAGGAAAAAGTCGATAATCTCAGATTCCTTAATGGGCAGGGAGAACAGGTAGATCTCCTCCAAGGACTTTATCTTCATGTCCTTAACCAGGCGGCCCAGCTTGGTGACAGGGATCCACTCCTTGTCTTCGGCTTTACCACCACGAGCCCCGCGGCCCCTAAGACCGCTGCGGAACCCTCCCCCCTCGGAAGCCACCTCGGCTTCCTAGTCCTGGGCTGCCGGGCCCTCCCGGCCCTCCGGCTGCACCAGCGTCACCCACCATTTGGTCTTTTCCCGAAGAAGAAGAAGCAGTTGATGTTTTTATTAGCAAGTATGTTTCAATATTGTTGAAGCTGTATTTCAGAAATTATTCTTTTTTGTTTGGTTTTTATTTTTTTAAGACAAGGTTTCTCTGTGTAGCCTTGTCTATAAAAATTATTCTTATTGTAAAGAGACTTTTTTTCTGATTAACACTGCTAAAAACCAATTTAGAAAATTTCCAATGGTTTGAGCAATACAGACTACTCATGATCATAGCCTATTCCTCTTGCCCTCATCCATTACAGCAACAACCAGAGCATTACACAAACTTTCTACCTTGAAAAGCAGACAAAGCTTAGGTTCCTCACTCCACAGGACTAACTAACAGAACTTGGCAACTATAACGAATGTGTTGTTGAGTATATAAATCACTAGACTGAAAATAAATACTCTGTGACAGTACATACCTCCTTCAGATACCAAAGATCCTGCTAAAATATAGTATGCCTGGAAAACAAGTATTAAAACAAATAATGAACCAAATATTTCACTAAGGATTGCAGCAGCTCATTATGTACAACTTGTAAAATATAATAAAACTGAAATATAAGTTCTGAGATCCTAGATACTAAGGATCTTGTCAGAAAACAACTCAGAGGACAATAAAATATGAACACAAGCCAGGTAGTCACTCACACCTTTAATCCCAGCACTTAGGAGGCAGAGGCAGGCAGATCTCAAGAGTTTGAGGCCAGCCTAATCTACAGAGCAAGTTCCAGGACAGCCAGAACTATACAGAGAAACCCTGTTTCCAAACACATAACCCCAATTTTTTTTTAAACAAAAAGTTTTTAAAAACATAAGAGGAAAAGTTCAGTTAAAAAAAAAAAAGACAAAATCAAGGACTCTGAAGTAACGCCTATTAAGTTTATGGTCTACTGAATCCATTATTTAACAAAGTGCCTCATTCCAATGGAATGCTACTCTGTTACTCAAAGCCAGGATATGTTAGAAACTTTAAAATTTAAGCACTATTAAAAATTTACCTCATCACTCTCTAACTTAAGAAACTGCCTTGCCCCTGTCAAATGATGCTGTTCAATTTAGATGAAGCTAGAACAAGGTACTGTGCCTATAAAGTAGCTAAACATGTTCAAATGGGAGAGGCAAGTTTTGTCTAACTAATTACACTAAATTAGTTGGTTTGGTTAAAAACAAAGAAAGGAAACTGGCTCAAAATGTAAACAGAAGATGAGACATGGCAGTATTTGCCTGTAGTCACAGCATAGGGGGTGTAGCAAAAAGTAGGGCAGGAATTCAAGAGTTCAAGGCCAGTGTCGGTGTCAAAGCACAAATACTGTGTTAGTAACTAAATAAAAACAAGCCAAGTTTACCTGGCTTGTCACTATATAGACACGTACGGAATAACAGAATGTTAAAAATAAGACTAATTACTTACTATTCTATGACCCAGAACAGGAAAATGTTCTAAGTTCACACTCATTCCAGAATGTTCCAAGACTAAAACAAAGTTGGTCTTTGGGGTTTTCAAAAGGAGGTAGGGGGCTTTCTCTACCCACCAGACCACACTCTGGTGATAAGCCTATCAATACTGAAAGAAGACAAGTTGCAGAGTAAGGAGTGCCTTGAGTTGCTGAGCTTGCTCAATGAGCTTATTAATAAGTGCCCCCAGGAGTTTGAAGATTACAGCAAACAGTGTCTTAGATACACATGAACAATAATCTGTAGGCAAGGCTACTGACAGTGGCTGTCAGAAAAAAAGGAAAAACACAGAACCCCACAGAAAGTAAAATGGAGGACATAGGTCTTAATCATGGGGCCCTGAGCTGGAGTCTTCTGAAACATTTAAAAGGCATTTTTGCCACGTTATTCCCTGCAAAACAGAAGCTAAGGGGGCAGCATATGACCAATCTGTGTCAACCCAAGGAGTCAGAGCAGCAAAGCAGCCTATTGTCTACGGTGTATCCGTGAAAGGTAAGGTGGTTTTAAGATCTGCAAAGGCCAGAGCAGACCAGTGTTTACTGTTCCCTACCCAGTGTTGTGCATAGTCTACTGAGCAGAAGAGCACTGGTGTAACAAAACCCCCTTTTCCCATTCTCCAGTGCATGTCCCCAACCTAATGGAGGCTCACATGAAAAATAAAAACACAAAGCAAACAAACAAAAACTCCTTTTCATTTTGCTTTAACATTAAATGCAGTTCCAGCTTATGACAAGTAACTGGAAACTATTACTGATACAAGGTCACTCCTGGTGCTGGAAGTGCATAGAATTTTTTGTTCTTCAATAGCATTTCTAGAAAAATCTGTAAAACTGCTCAAGATTTTAGCCAAAGAGGATGCTTAATAATTACACCTACGAAGATCTAGAGAAGGGCTAGAGAAACAAACAGCTCAGCAGTTGAGAGCACTGGTTGCTCTACCAGAGGACCAGGGTTTGATTCTCAATGCCAAGAAGGCAGCCTGTTGTAATTCCAGTCCCTGGAGAGCCAGCACCCTCTTCCGGCCTTTGCATGCACAGGCCATACATGTGGTGCATAGGCATACATGCAGGCAAAACACCCACACGCACAGTAAGTAAAAATTGTCTAAAATTATGTGGATTCAGAGATCACACTCATGTGTAAAATCACAAATAACCACAAATAAGTAAGTTGTGTGACACAGCCAAAAAACATGTTATTTCTGTTCTCCAATGTTGGAATAATGTCATTGTACACTGTGTATAGTTTACTCCTGTACTATTCAAATGCTAATTTCTTTATCCCACTATCTGGTCTTAAACAGGACATGGCTTTGTTATGTTTATTCTAAGTATCTCTTCTCTCAAGTTTGTGTAAAAATGCTGACCATTTGTTCTCTACATTGCCAATAAAACACTGACCAGCCAATACTGAGCACAGAGAGAAAAGTCCAGCTAGGGGTGTGTGGGGTAGAGGGAGGATTAAGCTGGGGGAGAGGTTCAGGAAGCACCAGAAGTGAGTTGAAGCCAGGATGGTTGAAAAAATGCAAGGAGTATGGGAATTTTGGCTAGGAGGAATCTAAACTAGCTTGGAAGTTTAGCATGGAGTAATAATTGCTCAGTATTGTGCTCAAGACTAATTAAATAAATCATAATCTCCCTATGTCGTCATTTGGGTAAATAGCTGGCTAAAAATAAGCTGCTGCCATATTAATTTTATACTTATAATATATTAATAATCCTTTTACCCTCTAATACAATATAGCAAAAGTTTTCTTTCACTAAGAGTACGCCAAAGTGAGAGTGGGGGAAAAAAAGAGGATCACCCATAGAAGGGATTCCATTGGTTCAGGATGAAGCAATCCCATGATTCCATGGTACCAAGAGAGTCCTGCGCCCATCATGAAAATACCAACACCACTAATCAATGAAGAAATGTAGCGCATATTTGAAAAGCCATACCTGAAAGATAAAAAGATCATAAAGGTTGCAAAAATGAATACTAACTTTCAAAATACACTTAATAAGCTAATGAAAAATTCTTAGACTATTAAAATAGTGTAGTTTTATATATTAAATACTGTAGGTGCAAAGTTCAATTTCAATTAAAAAATATGCAAAGTGGGGAAAATGCAAGATCTTTGAAAACATATAAAAATAAACAGCACTTAACTCAGGCACTTTCTAATCTCTATTTCATATCGTCTGTTTTGATTTATCAGAACTATTTTAATTACATTCCACAGATGCCAGGAATATTAATCTTTTTTTTAAAGATTTATTTATTCATTACGTATACAATGTTCTGTCTGCCTTTACTCCTGCATGCCAGAAGAGGACACTAGCTCTCATTAAAGATGGTTGTGAGCCACCATGTGGTTGCTGGCAATTGAACTCAGGACTTCTGGAAGAGCAGCCAGTGTGCTCTTAACCTCTGAGCCATCTCTCTAGCCCAGGAATATTAATCTTTTAAAAATTACATTAAAATCTTTAACAAAGAGGATAATACTTCAGTGTCCTTGGATTACAGCTTCTAACTGCGTATTATACTCTTGTGCTTATCTGTGACGCAGCGTATATTCCCTATACACCTATTTCATTGCTTATTTCTGACCAGATTACCATGAAACTTACTCCTGGTTCTGAACAGTTTAGCACACAGCTGAACCAATAACTTCAGTTTTCTGTATATTTTCCTTTTTGAAAACAACTATTTTTCTAATGACCTTTGGTCAAAATGAACCATTACTTTATATTATTTTAAGTACCAATACAGCACTATTAGGACACCTGAAAACTATGACATACTATGAGAAGTAAAATATTCACTTATATAAATATTTTCTGAGAAATATACTCTTAAACCCAAACACCACTGCACTCTCTGGTAGATACACTAAACATTCAAACACTGGTTCTTAATTTGAAAATGTACTGGAATTCTCTTTGTGGAAAGATGTAGTCTAGCCACAGAGAATCCCAGTATATGGATGTGACAAGTCTACAAATCTAAGTTTTCTTCAAGGTAACACCAACTTAAATTTAACGCCAATTTAAATTAATGAATAAATTAAGTTGCATGGCTTTCATTTTATGTATTTTAAGGCACTGTAAAAATCTGGTTTTATTTTTTTAATTGTTACTGGTTTTTTTGTTTGTTTGTTTGTTTGTTTGTTTATTTTTTGAGACAGGGTTTCTCTGTGTAGCCCTGGCTGTCCTAGAACTCACTCTGCAGACCAGGCTGGCCTCAAACTCACAGACATCTGCCTGCCTCTGCCTCTCTGAGTGCCAGGATCAAAAGTATGCAACACCACCACTGCCCAGCTCGCACTGTGGGTTCTACTAAAAACTTGCATTATATAGATCTGCACTGCTTGCTACATTAAATCCCTAGTCCCATATGGCTATTCATATCTAAATTTCCTTAAACTGCAGTCCAAAATTTAGTTACTATACTAATTAGTACTAAAACGGGCTACTGAAAACAACTTAAGAAGCAATCTTCAAAACATAGAATTTAAAATTTTTACTTATTTATATTTTTGATATAGAAAATCAGTAAGAAAAGTATCTTTTCAAGAGACAGTAAAACACAGTAGATGTGTAATAATGTTTGCTCTCAATATTAAATAACTCATAATTTCACAATATTAAAAATGTATTGTTATTATTATTAAGAGTGGTGTCCCAGTTTCAAGTAAGGAAAAATATAAAGCACTAAAATAGACATCTTCACAGAGATAAAGTTGAATGAACTCTTTTGCCTTAACACTGACCAACCTGTATTAATGCAGGTAGTTAAAATAACAACGAGGGGCTGGAGAGATGGCTCAGAGGCTAGGAGGATTGGTTGCTCTTCCATGGGTCCTGAGTTCAATTCCCAGCAACCACATGGTAGCTCACAACCATCTATAATCATCATGCCACCTTCTGGCATGCAGGTGTACATAAAGCAGAACATTGTATAAATAAAAAATAAATAAACCTTTAAAATAACAATGAATATGGAGCTCAAACATTTGGATGGCTGCTAACAGATGCAACAAAAGTAAATACCCACATCAGGAAACTGAGATCCTCAAAGTAATGTATTCTTTAAAAAATTAAATATTCATATGTGAGGACTTTACAAATATCTAATTTTGAAATGTTATCAAAATATTTTTCAATTGTAATAAAAGCACTAAAGACAGAGTATGTATGAAGTATGCATTTTAAAAAGGTTAGATTATGTAGTCAATTACGTTTGGACTGGAATATACTTCCTTGAAATAAAATAATAGAATTCGGAAGTGTTTTGTAATTATCAAATACAGAGAAGATCTCTGTGCTGTATTATAAAGCATAAAAAAATTCAACTGCACTTTCAAATTATGTCTTAAATTTACTTTGACCTTATAATTTAGATGCTTTACAAAGTAAATGACCAAATCTCAAACAACCTAACGCAATATAAATTTTAGCCTTCTGAAATTCTTTGGTTTATTTCATGACTTATAGCAAATTCAAGTGAGAGGCAGTGTCCTTACGGGTGAGAAGGATCTGGTGTTTGCACAGACTTGCTGATGCCCAGTGCTAGCAAACCCTGTGGAGAACAAACAGTCATACTCATTACCAAGACAGAGAATACAATCAGTGAGCCAACAAAGAAACCATATGTGCACATCAAGGGCCAAGCGATCGTAGTTTCCAGGACTTAGAAAAATAAAGATAAACCCAAGGAGATTCAAAACAACATTGTTTATAAGGGTGAAAAAGCTGAAATACAGCTGGGCATGGAGGCATGCTTAAATTCCCAGCACTTGAAGAGGCAGGAGGACCAAGTTTGAGTCTACCTTGGGCTGCATGAGCCCCATCTCAAAGAAACCATACCAAACTAGACTAAGAAAACAATAACAAAGAAATCTAAAATTCTATCAGTAGAAAAATGCAACTCAAATGATCAACCACAATAAATGACTTCTACAGCAGGTTAAAATAGCAAGCCTAAAGTAGTTTTCTGTGTTGATATGGGTAAAGCTCCTAGATGCACCGTTCAGTGAAAAAAACTTGAATGCAAGCCAGTCTGAGCAAACACTGCAGTGCTCTGTCACAAATAAAACAAGGCACAGCTCTACTGGCATTATGATTGGGGTTACATTCATTCTACAGATCACTGTCTTATCCTATCACATGCTCTCCCAGTCCACTGCCCTCTTTGTGGTCCTGGGGATCAAACCTTGGGCCTTGAAGAGTCTAAGCAAGCACTCAACACTGGGCTGTGTTCCAGCCTTTCTTTAGATCTTTGTAAAACCTCTCAGCAAGTTCACAGTTTTCAGTGTAAAAGTTTTGTGCATCTTTTTCTAGATTAATCCTTAATGTTTTGTGATACTATTATAAATGGAAAATTTTAAATGTTATTCTGTATTTGCTGCCACTGAAAAGGCAATGATTTGTATCTATTCATTTTGACTATTAAACCAACTTACATTCTCAGAACAATATTAACTTGACTATATTATGATTTTTATAAATTGCTTGATCCCATTTGGTTATATTTAAAAGAATTTCTGTGTATGTCCCTGAAGGGTACTGATCAGTATATATATTTTTCTCATGTGATGATACTGTGAGTTTTGGTATCAGAGCTATGCTATGTCCATAGAGTTGAAAGGCCATCTATGCTTTTTCTACCTCTCAAAGTCTGTGTACTATTGGCACTGTTTTCTTAAAAGCTGGCTCAGTTTTCTTGGTACTGTCTCCAAACAGTATCTAAGGATTCCTTTATCTTCCTCAGTCTTCTTTATCTCTGGTTCTAGTATAGATGCTTTCTATTATAAATAAAGAGCGACTCTTTTCTAGTGTTTAGTCTTCTGTTAATGTTACCCAGTGGGATTTTGTGTCAAGAATTTTTTTTTCCGCTCTAAAAGCCCTATTAATGTCTTTTATCATCTGTCAATTGAGTTTACTTATTTTCCTGCTGGCTGAGTCCAATTTTCTTGCTCCTTGCACTGTCTAGTAGTATTCTGCTCCTAACTAGAAAAATTCGCCAAACACTGTGAATGTCACACTAAGTGTTTGGGGTGAGGCAGTCTATTGTCTTCTCTAAAGAACATGGAGCTTTGTTCTGATACACAAATTATTCATAGATAAACTTGATAATTTACATTTCTGGAAAAGTCTATAAAGAAGGATTCTAGAATAGCCTTTTCACTAGGGATACTTTAACTCTACTGCTAAGGTATGAAGCCTGGGCTCCCTGGGAACCAGCACAGTTTCTTATCCCACCTGGCCAGAATATGAATGTGCTGTAGCACTGTGTAAGCACTAGAAATTACTCAGCTTGTTGCTGGTTGGTATCTCTGGCCACAGTTTTGCACATGGGTAATTTAACATTCACTAAGGACTCAAGAAGATCCCTAAACAGATTTGATTCTCCCCCATCCCGCCACTATGTAGCTCTTTCCTCTGTAGAACTCTGCCTCCTAATTTCCAAACACTTCAGATTCCTTGAACTTTGATATTTCTCATCCTGGCCCACTACTCCAAAAGCATTTCTAAGCAAAAAGTTAGAGAAAAAGTAAGAGAAATCAAATCCCTTCTCAGAGGTACAGTCTTGTGCTTCTATTATTCAATGTTTGGAAGCAGATATATTTTTATCTAGGTTTTTACTGTTAATGCATCAAAACATTACATTCAATCTCTGTGAGTCCTTCATGGTTAAAGTACAAGTTATATAATATATTCTACAACTGTATTTTTTTATTCATTTTACTATGGTTATTCCTTCAGCTAAAGCTATCATAGCTTTAAAACCCATATGTCATATTTGTACTGGCTAGCTGTAAGTAAACTTGACACAGCTATAGTCACCTGAGAGGATGGATCCTCTATTGAGAAAATGCCTCCATAAGATCAAGCTGCAGGCAAACCTGCAAAGCGTTTTCTTAATTAGTGATTGATGGGGGAAGGTCTGGCCCATTGTTGGTCATGCCACCCCTAAGCTGGTGGCCCTGGGTTCTATAAGAAAAAAGGCTAACTATGACAGGAGGAGCAAGCCCACAAGCTGTACCCTCCACTGCCTCTGCTTCAGTCCCTGCTCTGTTCCTGCTCTGACTTCCTTCAGTGATGGACTAGATGTATAAACCAAATCAACCCTTTCCTCCCTGGAGTTTCATCTGAGCATAACCCAAAGTAGGACAATATTTTAGAGAACAGATACTTAAGATTTATCTCCAATGTTCTAAAATTAACACTAACACTATTAATCTTGTTTCATATTTTTTTTGGTCTTTATGTCCTTAAGCTTTCAAGGCTCTTAAACACTGTTTTTATATGTCCCTCCCCATTTCCTCTCCTTCCTAATACTGTGACTGACTGGAAAAAAAACCTATATTGATGGTGGTTATTAAGTACTTCCTGATGGCTCAGTAGGTAAAGTGCTTCTCATACAAGCGTAAGCATTGGAGTTAGGATCCCCAGCACTAAATGTTGGGTGTGGTAGTGATGGCTATCCTGGAATCCTGGCCCTTTGGAGGCAGACAGGGGTTCTCTCTGGACTAGCTAAATCGGTATTCCTGTGCTCAAGTAAGAAATCTGTCTCATTATATAGATGAACAACAACTGAGGAAAACACCTATGTCAATGTCATGAACATACACACATACACCTCATATACAAGTAAAAAAAAAAACATGTTATCTTAAATGTTCTTTTGGGGTGGGCAGTGCTAGGGATCCAAGTCAAAGCCTCTCACTTGGCAGTCACATACTTTACACTGAGCTACTTTCACTGAAAATTCTCTCAAATTTATTTCAACATAAATAGAGTATAAACACTTTATTCTTTAAATAAAGTATTTAAATTTTATTAAAATTCTCTTTAAAATATGTAAGTAAAATTTCTATATTATTGTTCACAAAGAATTAGGTTTTAAGTATTCACAATTCGGGCCAAAGAGAATTTAAAGGGTATTTTAATTTTTTTTAATCTTCATTTGCAAAATCAAGAGAAAGATTTCAAACTACTAGTCTAAGTATGCTTAACAATCACACAGCACTAACTTTAAGTGGAACAAGGACTATTTCTAACAGGATCTCAAGGGCAGGCTCTTTGACCGCCCTCCCCCCCCCCCCCCCCCCCCCGGGGAGGAGCAGTCCTGTTAGGCCACAGAGGAGGACTTTGCAGCCAGCCCTGAAGATACCTGATAAAACAGGGTCAAATGAAAGGGGAGGAGGTCCTCCCCTATCAGTGGACTTGGAAAGGGGCAGGGAGGAGACCAGGGAGGGAGTATGGGGTTGGGGATGGAATGAGGGTATGGGATGCAGCTGGGACATAGAGTTAACAAATGTAACTAAAAAGAAAAATAAAATTAAAAAAAAATTTTTTATTGGCTCTCACTGTAGTTAAGAATTTATATTTAGCTGAGCACAGTGGCACACACCTCTAATTCCAGCACTCTGGAGGCAGATGCAGGCAGATTAGATCTCTGGAGTTTGAAGCCAGCCTGGCCTACATAGTGAGTTCCAAGACAACTGTATTTAGAAAGCTCTTTCAAAAATCTCCTGGGCCTGGTGGTTAGAAAGATGGCTTACAGGTTAAGAGCACTGGCTGCTCTTCCAAAGGTCCTGGGTTCAATTCCCAGCATCCCACATGACAGCCTAAAATTGTCTGTAACTCCAGTTTCAGGGAATCTGACACCCTCAAAAAGATACACATGCAGGCAAAACAACAATAAGTGCGTGCACACACATACAAAACAAAACTCTTCTACAAGCTGGAGAGTTTGCTCAGTCTTGGAAAGGACCCAAGTTCAATTCCCAGCACCCACATGAGGCTCACCACCTCTTCAGGCACTAGGCATACATGCGGTGCACAGATATACATGGAGGCAAAACACTCAAACACATAAATCTGAAAAAACAATAAAAGCATTTTTTCAATGCTTTAGTTTCTTATGTAAACTAGTATTTACAAATAACCTACAAGTATCCTCTCATATTTTAAATCATGTCTGTATTACTTCTCATGTCTCATACAATATGAATAGTGTATATATATATATATATATATTACTGTTAAACTCTATTGTTAAGAATAGTAACGGGTGTAGGGATGGGATAGAGAGATGCTTCAGCCATTAAGAGCACTGATTCCTCTTCCAGAGGTCTGGGTTTAATTCCCAGCTCCCACTTGGAGGCTCTGTAACTGTAGTCCAAGGAGATCTGATGCCTTTTTATGGCATCAGGCATTTATGTGGAACATACATGCAGACGTAACATTCATACACATAAACAAACCTTAAAAACAAGACAAAAAAATGAGTAGACAGTGTTCTCTGTCTCTGTCTCTGTCAGTGTGTGTGTGTAATGAGACAAGGCCTCTCTGTGTAGCTCTGGCTGTCCTGGAACACATTATATAATATAGACCAGGCTAGGTTCATACTCACATAGATTACCTGCTTCTCCCTCCTGAGTGCTGGGTCTGTGCTACCATGTCCATCTCCTTCTCCTATTTTTAATCCACAGTTAGTTGTGGGGATATGGAAGCACAGGTGCAGAACACACGTATAAAAAGCCTCTGTTCTTAAATGTTCAAGTTAAGAAAGCTGCTACAGCCAAAGCCAACTACAGGGTATTTTTTATCAAATCACTTTCTGCCTAAAGTCTGTAAGAAGCTGTTTAAAATTAATGAAGCATTTTCTTCTTACCTGGTTACAAGTATCAGATAATGAGTGTATAGCCTCTGAGAACATACTTGCTGAACCCGTATAAATCCAGGCAAGAAACTTAAAGAAGCAGTTCAAGCCATTACTAGAGAGAAAGAAAACAATTTACCATATGTTTGAGGTAAAATTTTCCATGAAAAGCTAACTGACTTTATACTAGGTTCTATTGAAAATAAATAAAAAAAAGAACTTCCTACAATTCAGGTATAAATATGAAAAGTACACATTGTGACACCATTAAGTATGCAAGGAAAAGGCAATGAGGCAATTCTGTATGTTGAAGACTTTGTCTTCCTAATGCTATATAATTAGCCCCCAGGCAATCTTAACGATTGCTATGGTTTTAATTATCATCAATAGACTAATAATTCACAAGTTTAAATCTCCAGCCTAGATCTTCCTGCTCAGCTTGAGAACAATATATTTTAACAATAATACTTATAATACATATTATGTACTAGGTACTATGCTAATTAGTTTATACATTACATACACTCTCACAAGGAAGGCTACAATTATTATCCCAACTCTGCTGGCAGAAGAACTAACTCTATTCACCATCTCTTCCTGGACACCCTTATAGATGTCTCAAACTAAAAACCCAAGATCATTTTCTCTTCTGTCCTACCCCTGTTTCTGGTGCTCCTGTCAGAGTAACATCTATCAGTTGTCCAAGCAGAAACCTGGACATCATTCTTGACAACAGTTCTAAGTATTCTTAATAGATATCATCATCCTTAGTCCTTACTAGAAATGCTTTCCTCTAGTCTAATAACCTCCAACCCTCCAAAGATTATATATTTCTAAAGCCTACCATAATTTGATATGCATTTTTAAAAAATAACTCTTCTGAATTACAAAATTAATGCTTTCATACAGCCTAAAATTAACTAGCAAAGAACAAAAAGGTAAGCAAAATAGAAATCAAGAAGCCAGAGGAAAAAGGAATCAGTCACAACACCATGAAGTTTCCTCCAAAGTTAAGTGGGAGAAAAACACTGGCATGAATGTTTTTCTTAATAGCTGTGGCCTGAGTCACAATGGCCAATGTAACTTTAAAAAATTCACCCTGACAAAGTCCAATGAGTATTTTCAGGGAGAAATGTATATCCACTTCAAAAATATACAAACCAAGTACAAAGTCTAAATGGACCTCTACCCTTGCCCTATCACGTCACTAGCCATGACATAGACTCAACTTCCTAAGGTAATAAAAGCTACACGTTAGTTATGCAGCTAGCCACTAAGTCATCTATTTATACACTCAAGGACACACATTAACAGGTATATACTTCTAGTTTAAAAGCCTTGTCTTCCAAAACTTACATGCAGATAGCAACCATCACCACCTTTCCTGGTCCCTTAAGGAACACTGACACCGTCCTGGAGCGTGGCTGTAAGACAAGAACAAAGACTTCCACAGTCTCTCAAAGAAGCACAGCAGCCAGTGGTCTGACACAGCACAAGATTCAGCTTCTCAAAACTTCTAAACAAAGGGGCTTACTTTTAAATTCTTTTCATCCAAAATTTCTCATTAAGAGGAGTGTAGTGCGGGCCTAGAGAGATGGCTCAGTCACTAGAGAGCATGCACTCTCCTTGCTGAGAACACTTGTTTGGTCTCCAGCACCCATGTTGGGTGGATCACAACAACCTACACAACTCCAGCTCCAAGTGATGACACCTCTTCTGTCCTCTGGGGCCTTGGCTATCCTGGACTGGCTGGCCTCACTAGACCAGGCTGGCCTTAAACTCAAAGTGATCTGCCTGCCTCTGCCTCCCTGAGTGCTGGAATTAAAGGTGTGTGCCACACCACGACCAGCTAATAAAATAAATTATAAAGTATGTAGGTAACTGAAATCACACTTGGGTACTTTTTCAAAACCTCAAATGCTCATTTTGTTCTTTAACTTTCATACTTAAGTTTGTTTTACATTGTTATAAGAACTGAAACGAAGCCTGATGACCTGGGTCCCCCAGATGGTAGAAGGAAAGAAGAGATTCCTGAAAATTGTCCTCTGACCTTCACAGGAGCACCATGGCATATGCACACATACCGACACTAAATAAGTAAATATTAAGTTTTCAAAAATTACAACAGATGTCATAGAGGACTACCAGGGAAAGCTGTATAAACCAGTCAGAGCACCACTGGTTCCTTTCAAAGCAATACTATGGCTGCAGCTAAACTTACTCAGTGGAGATAAAGATACTTTCAAGGACTATCCTAAGAAATTCAGTCAGGATCTAAGGAAAGGCATAAGAAAGTAGAACAAATTAAGAGGGAAAGAAATTAAAGGGACAGTGCAAAATTAGATTATGAGAAGGTAGCTACTGCTCTGATGAAAGAATGCTTTTGGTAAACCCAAGGATGCTGTGACTTTATTTCTTGCTGTTAGAGTTCCTGTGAAACAAGAAGAGTGTAACAGGAAAAATCTGCATCCAAAGTAAAAATGCATAAAGAAAGCATATAATTCCAGCAAGCAGGACTGCCCACATGAACAGATATGAGGCAGATGTCACTGGCCTAAGTTATTCCACACTGTAAGACAGTGACAATCATCTTGTAGCACAGGAGAAATTCTAGCTCCCCAGACATGGGAAGACTACGACCTTCAGACCACTCTTCCGTGCTGCACTCAGAAAAGGCTCTGCAGGAAACCGGAATCAAAATGAATGAAGAGAGGCAGTGCCCAGTTCTGAACTATGTGAAAGGCACTCAAGTCTCAAATGTTACTCAGAGAAAAGACAATTTGCAAAGGCAGCCTTTGCCCAATTTATGCATTAACTTGATTTGTTCTGAGAAGTCTCACTCTAGCCCTTGCTAGCTCTGATTTGTGGCAATCTTCCTGTCTTAACCTTCCAAGTGCTGGTATGTCAAGCATTAGCTACAACACCCAGCTATGGCATTAATTTCTCTTTTTATTTTGAGAAAGACATATAGATAGATAGAGAGACAGACAGACAGTATATTTCTTTTGAGCTATAACCTAAGTAGCCTTGACTGGCCTGGAAATTACTATGTAGACTAGGCTAGCCTTGAACATGAGGAGATCCTCCTGATTCTGGCTCCTGAATGCTGGAATTATGCCTAGGAACCATCACACATACCCACTATTAACTTCTTGATGAAAGATCCCTCCTAGCCAAGTTGAAATGAAAAGTCTATTCTAGATATAGACGACTTTGCATGTTGGATGTTGTTTGTGACTTTTGTTAAGAGCCATTTCAGTGGAAAGAAAATCCAATTAGACTGAATTTAACAGACAAGAGCAAGTGAGATACTGAATGAAACTTTCTGTATTTTTCCTAATATTCAATTATTTCTTGTAGAAAGGATGGTATTTAAGAGCATGTGTAGATAATGTCTGTATATCTGATGAGTAAAATACGGTCTTCTCATCAAATTACAAATGGTCTTTGACATATAGGATTAGGGTCTCTATAACCACCACAAACTTAAAATACTATAGATTAAAAATGCATCTAATCCATCTAACCTAACCATAGCATACCTAGCCTGCCTCAAATGTATTCAGAACTCTTAGATCTGCCTAGTAAAATCATCTAGCACAAAGCCCATTTTAATGAAATATCGACTATAACTTACTGAATACTATATGGAAATTAAAAACAATGGCCTATGCTTATGATTTCACACTATCAAGTTGATAAACCACTTTACATTGGAGCCACTTTCATACCTGTTTTTGTTTTTTTCAGTGAAGTATGAAGCAGGGACAGTAGCTGATAGACAAAAGGTAAGGCTGTAGGAAGTTTGGGAATGGGGGAAAGGTGTACATTAAGCTATTTTACAGCGAAAGAACATATTAATGAAGTCATACAGAGTTTTTACTAACTATACACAAATAATAATAAATAATAGTATAATCTAGGCAATAATATTTATTACATAAAATAGATAAAAATTTAAAATTAAATAATAATAAATAATAAATTTAGATAATAATAAAGCCAAATAATAAAGAACAATCAAACCAGTGGTGTAATTTTGTCTTTCAAGGGATGCTTTCATGTGCAAAAGCAGAGAGCTAGCAGCCTCAATGCTGAATCAGAATTAGGAGTAGAAGGAATAAAGACAATGGCACTTAAGAAACTTTTATATACAACTATATGTGTGTGTATGTGTGTGTATGAGAATGTATGTATATGTATATGCATGAGAGATAAAAGATATGAAAGAGAAAGAAAATCCTGATAAAACCTAAGCAAATAGTCTCCTTTATTTATGTATGCTGAAGAACCTTAGTAACAGCCTGGTCTACAAAGCAAATCCAGGATAGCCAAGGCTATACAGAGAAACCCTGTCTTGAAGAATAAAAACAAAACAACAACAACAAAAAAAGCTTAGGAAACTCCTGTCACAATTTTAATTTCAAGAAAATAAAACAAATGAATAGATGGCAGTTCAGTTAATTAAAATGTGTTCAAGAAAAATCTTGGATTATAATCAAAGACCTGCTAGAATTTCTTGGATTATGATCATAGACATTTTGCAATATACTGTTTGTTAATTAACACACACATACGATTAAAAAGATATCCTTACCTTTGTGTATCCCAAGAAATCACCATATTCCCTTAATATTCTTTGGTTTCTAAACAGCCCTATAGGAATCAGAAAATAAGTTTAGGCTATATATATACTTACTAATCAGTTTATAGTACTACAACTATTCTCTTTAAAACTGAGTTAAATAGTTGAAGGTGTAGCTAGAATGCTTGCGTATCATGTAAAGTTCACTTTCCAGAACCATGTATACCAGGTGTAGCACAGACCTGTAATCCTAGCATTCTGGAGGTGGAAACAGGAGAATCAGGAGTTCTTGTAGTCTTGTAGTCTCCCATGTAGTCATCCTTGGCTACACAGCAAATTTGAGGCTAGCCTGGGTCATGTGAGACCCCTACCATCCCTTCCTTGGAAGGCATGTATTCAGGATGTTTCTCCCCACAGCTATGGAAAACTAGGATTACATTGGCATCTATGACGAACAAGTGAACAAGTACATGCGGAGCATGGTCCCTTCCCATTTATATATGTTAAATGTGTGTCTACAGGCAGTTAAAAGAGTTGCTGCTCAATCACGAAGAGCAGAGTCTGGCTGCCAGCACTATCATCCACGGTGCTTAGCTCACAAATGTCTATAACTTCAACTCCGAGGGTCTGCACATCCTCTTTAGGACCCAGAGGGCACCTGCACATGTGCACATACACTCACAAAGACACACACACACACAAATGAACCAAATGAATCTTTCAGAAAGTGTGCACATGAATTTTAAAATGTACTGGAAATATTCTGAAAGGATATAACCAAACCATAAACAACAGTTATCTTTAGGAATGAAAATAAAAGTATTACAGACAAGGAAAAAAATGTAGCACTCTTTGTATTTTTGTATTCTTTGTTTGGGGGTACTGGTAAATCAAACTGAATTTTTTTTATTCATAAATATGTACAATACTTCTGCAACAATAAATATATTTATATAATTCAAATCATGTAAGACATATTTTACATTCCCCTATATCTAAACTCTAAATCACTAAACTCATTTTTCTGATAGTCTTAACTGTGTCTGTAGTTGAAGGACAGTTTTATAGAGGAATTTTAATTCAGAACATGGCTGTTCTGGCAAGAGATCATATCCAAACACCTTCTAGATCTTTGTTATCTGGGTGGCAAGAGATCACATTCAAAGATCTTCTAGGCTTGTGTGATCCGGCTGGAATAGAAACAAGCCTTTTAATCTATGAGTCAGACACTAGCAGATCTGAGTTCAAGGTATAGAGCAAGTTTCAGGTGAAGAAAAGCTTACATCCAGGCAAGTTGGTATACACCTTTAATACTAAACAATGAAGGTAAAATTAATTTACAGAAGGAAGCACCCATGTTTGAAAGTGCTATCTAATTGAGTGGCAGAAACAGTGACAAATTAGAGAAAGACTTGACAGAATAGGGAAGCTACTTAAGGGGCAATACAGAGAGAGGAGGCAGTTTTACCATGACAGAGAGAGAACTCAGGTAAAGACAGAATGAGCTAGAGAATGAGAAAGAAGCCAAGAGATATGAGCATACTGAATAAATTAGCTGGGAGAGAAGTTTGAGCCAGAAGAGCTGAGTTGAACCAGCCAGCCTAGAGCTCAGTAAGAACAAGAAAGGGTGAGCTTATTCATTGGTGGGTCTCAGAGATTGAAAACATTCTGGGCCTAGGTTACACAGAACAGAGGCTAGAAGCTTCTAGGCCTAGGCCTAGGTTAGCAGTGGGAGACGATAAAAGTTACTTTTACACAGTTTCTTAATCATGTTAGGACTATGATAAATATTTGCTGAATGAATGAATGTGGTGGCTGAATCAATACTTTCTATAACAAGGCAGTAACTACCACTTTCATAATGGTAATCTTTAAGTCAGAGCTAGTGTCACCAGTATTGTTCCACAGAAACTACAAAGTATTTTTGTTTTTTCTTTGCAAGTATTTTTCACTTACTCTTACCATCCTAGAAAGTTATCAAACAAAACAAAACAAAACAAAAACAAAAACAAAACAAATTGATTCTGTTTTTTAAATGAATCCCCATGGTGGAAAACTGGTACTTGCTGTAGCGCAGTGCAGCCAAACCACAAAGTGGCTCTCAGGGGCACAGCTCTTACCTAAATGTTATTTTCCAAGAAACCCAGACTTAAACTAAAAGTACTTACGTTCTCTGTATTCTATTTCTGCTTCTTTACGCAATTTTTTCTCCCTGGCGAGAGCTTCAAGGCTTCCCCAAACTTCCAACGCTCTGTGTGTACAAGCATATGCATGGTCACGACTAGGGATCATCTTAACTTACTTAACTATAATTACATTTAAGTAAACATGAACTATATATAAAAAGCTTATAAAAGAAAAAGCGTAAGGTCTTTTCATGAGAAAAACAAAAAGTGCTTAAAACTTCCGAGTCAAATCTAAGCAATTCAAATCAACTCATGAGGAAATATTTTTATAAAATGCTTCTCTAACCCCAAATCCAGCATGCACTCTTTTGTGAAGGAATTATGTTCTTACTTTGCTTCCACATCTGATCTCAAGAATACAGTGAAGGACTCAGTATCATCATGGGGACTTCGTCGTCTGATTTTTCGAAGCTGTTCTAAATCACTGGAGACATAGAGGTGTTGAGGTTATTCAGACAATACTTAAAAGCTTACAGATTAAAGACAGTAAACAACTAGACTGATCCCCATCTTGAAAGAAGGGATCTGAATAGCCTCTAAACATCAGTTTAAAGACAGCATTTTTAATACAGTAAAAAAAGATGATCACTGACGAAGACCACCACAGTACATAGACTCCACTCCCCTACATACAATCCTGAATGTGCATGGTCTCATCAGAAACTTAACAGGGTCAAGCCTGGTCAGTATGTTGCAACTCAGCCATTGATGCTAGTACTATGGGCATAACCACAGAAACTTTTAAGGCACGTAAAAAATAATATATATACAAGTTTCATTCTTCTGTTTAAGAATTTAAGTTAAGTGCTGGCAAGATGACTCAGCAGGTACTTGCTGGCAAGCGTAAAGGCCTCAGTTGTGGCCCCCAGATCCACGTGGCGGAAGGGAACCAACTCCCCCAAGTTTTCCTCTGACCTCCACATATGCACCCCCCACACCCAATTAAATTTTTACAAGTTAGATATGTCAAGTCACAGTTGTAATCACTTTGATTTTTCTTAAATTCTAAAAGGTTTATCAAATCATTATTAAGGTCACTAATAGATCGTTTTCTACTTAATCACTAGTTGTCTTGTAGAAATCTGTGACAACAATGAGCAATTATCTTCATGCTAATTTTGAAAATTAATGAAAAGATAACAGGCCATATTATTTGTACAGAGTACTACATTGAAAGAAATAGTATGGGCTGGAGAGATGGCTCAGGTTAAGTGCACTGGCTGCTCCTCCAGAGGTCCTGAGTTCAATTCCCAGCAACCACATGGTGGCTCACAACCATCTATAATGAGATCTGGTGCCCTCTTCTGGCGTGCAGGTATACATGCAGGCAGAATACTGTATACATAAATAAATCTTAAAAAAAAAAAAGGAAAGAAATACTGTACCTAGATTTAAGACAGAACTCATTTATTGCTCTTACTCCAGTGATGAAATTATTCTGAGTGTATTTTGATCCATACTCCCTCTTCTTAAGGACTGCTTTGACTAAACCAGAAACAAAGTAATATAAGTATGCATACTGAAAGCTCTACTGAAAAATGAAACTTGTTGAATTCCATATACATTTGTTTTTTTTTTCCTGATAATAAGATGGTAGCAAATAAAAAGAAATATCTCCCCCAGTACAAAAAAACTAGTGTTTATCTCTATAACTCATCTCTAATTGATGCTAAATAACAACCTTTCATCTAGTAGAAACCTTGTATCAGTAGTACTGATCTGTTTAAAGCATTAAAACAATTTATTTATTTATTTATTCATTCACTCATTTATTTATTTATTTATTTTTAGAATTAAAAGGAATAACTTTTTTTTTTGAATTTTATTTTTTCTTATCAGTTACATTTTATTAACTCTGTATCCCAGCCATGTCCCGATCCCTCATTCCCTCCCAGTCCCTCCCTCCCTCATCTCCACCGTGCCCCTTGCCAAGTCCACTGATGGGGGGGACCTCCTCCCCATTCATCTGATCCTGTTTTATCAGGTATCTTCAGGACTGGCTGCAAAGCTCTCCTCTGTGGCCTAACAGGACTGCTCCTCCCTTGGGGGGTGGGGAGGCCAAAGAGCCAGTCACTGAGTTCCTGTTAGAAATAGTCCTTGTTCCCCTCCCTATGGGAAACCAATTGGTTACTGAGCTACCACAGGCTACATCTGAGCAGGGGTTCTAGGTTACATTCATACATGGTCCTTGGTTGCATGTCAGTCTCAGAAAAGACCCTGTGCCCAGATATATTTGGTCCTTGTGGAGCTCCTATCCTTTGCATTAAAACAATTTAAGTTGCTTAGGGTCTATGTGTAAATGAAGTCTCAATAAATATTATAGAATAGTCACTGCTATCCTGTACTGATTTTTTTGGAGAGAGAGAAGGCTTCACTATGTAACCTGGGATTCCTTCCGCTCCAGCTCCTGACAGGCTGCAATCAAAGGCAGGTCACACACAGACAGTACAATGCTGATGACTCTTGATTATTTAACTATTTGTATTCATAATCTTCAAGGCCACCCTGATGAGTAAGTTTTATTTTTACCATCTTATAGGGAAGTGAGCTAAATGTCAGAGTGGTTAAATAAGTTAGCTGCCTTAAACCAGACAGCTAGTAAATGTGAGAGCTAAAACTGAGCCCTGTTTTGTCTGACACCACAGTGCTTCAAACCCCACAAAGCTAAAGAATTAGTTGCTTTGGAGAAAAATCAGACACAACCCACCTGAACTTAAACACACTATAGCTGAAGGCAGTAGCCTCCTGTTCCTTAATAACATTACTTTTTAAAAAATAATAAAGCAAACTGATGATTTTGGTTCTTTAGGCTTTTTAAATACTTGTCATCAAAATGCAAAATAAATGTCAGCATAAAGGAGTATATAAATAGAATAAAAACTTTAGCCAATTTACTTAAAATAAAAGCAAACTATGACTACATGCTTAGAATGTTAAAGACCTCCACATAAATTCTGTATAATTATATATACCCACATGCTAAAACATCAAATAAATGATAGTTACCTCTTACTTGAAGAGGATCTTGCTTAAGTGGAGCTTTGAGTTCTGCGCCTATATTTTCTGCTGTAAAGTTTATAAAAACAACTTTACATTAAAGACTTGCTTTGATATAAAACTGTAACTTATTAATTTAATCAAGCAATGTATAACAGTAAGTATATTATCACAAACTATTTTAATTCATTCTATAAAACATAAGAGTGTCAAACTTCATTAAAGCTACTTACCCCTCAATGATATACCACAGGAGAAAAGGCATGAAATCTTCTCAAGAACAAAAGACAATGCATTTAGTAAAACTCAGCATCCATACACATGACAAAGCCTCTCAGGAAACTGATGAAAGCACTTGTTTTAAAGAGTAAAACAAGCAAAATCCATGAGGTGTTACATCTAATGGTCAAAGTGTAGATGCATTTAAAATAGAAAAACAAAAGCGCAGAGTTCTTCCACTGTTTTAGAGACAACATTCAGTGAAGAAAAGATGTCTATTAAGTGGTCTTAGACAACTGTACTCCCATTCACACCCCCAAAAACCACTAATAAAGGTAAAAAATAAAAAGAAATTGGAATCTACCTCCCACTATAGGCAAAAGAAATGTTTACATAAATACCAATTCAAATATCAATGCATTTGAATGCTCCACTGTAGATCACGGCAACTACTGTTATCCTAAAGAAAGATGTTCTTTCTTTTTATGAAGCAGGGTCTCACTATGCAGCCAAGAATAGGCTCAAATTCACAACGCTCCTGCCTCAGGCTCTTGAATGATGAAATGACAGCAGCATACCATCATGCCCAACCAACCAACCAACCAAACAAACAAAAAACTTATAAGCAGGATAAAAAAACAGTCAATTAAAATTCAGAAAATCTATTCAACAAAAAATTCTGTACTTGAGTGGGCTGCTATAGTTAGTTCCCACAAAATCATTTTGGCATAGGTATTATTATCTCTATGAAGAAACTGAAGCAGAGAGAGGTTAAAATATCCCCTAAAGTCACACAACTACAATTTCCTGTCTATGAGGAAACAGGCAAAGGGTTCTGTAACTGCACAGGTGATATTTTAGACATGGAAGCAGTCAGGATCAAAACCTAAGATATTTTTATCAGTGCGGCACACTGTTCACCATTCTCCCACACTGCCTTCATGTTTACAATGACATCCAACTCATAAGGAGACATCTGTGTATTTTATATTGAGGAAAACAGAAGAGGCTCACAGTGAATACTGAGTAATTTGCCACACAAAAGCCATGGGAAGCTGTTGCTGAGCACTTTCTGTGGAAGAATGATGATGAAGGCAAGCACAGAATGAGGATGGAGGCAAGTACCATCTGGGTTTTCAGCAGAAGCTGAGGGAGAACAGAATCAAGGAAGGGAAAATTGCTGGTACTGTTAAAAGGCAAATCACAAGAGTCCTGGAGGAGATGAGACAGAGGACCAGCACACAGAAGAAGTCTGTGCCTCCACCTCTTCGCCAGGCACACATTTAAATGACAGCATTAAACATGACCACTTGATTGTGGTACACTTGGACCATCTTACTGCTTCTTCCTGGGTTACTGTCCTTTTTTCTTTCACATTTCCTACCATTTGTTAGAGTCAACCAATCTTCTATATGTTCCTACCATCTCATCCTCCAATTTATAAAATTATACTTTTTTTTTTTTTTTTTTGAGACAGGGTTTCTCTGTGTAGCCTTTATTACCCTGGACTAACTTTGTAGACCAGGCTGGCCTCGAACTCAGAGATCCTCCTGCCTCTGCCTCCCTGAGTGTAGCAGTGTAGCACCACACCTGGCTTTTTATTTCTATTCTTTAATTTAGTGTACACAGGATATTTCCTGTAAATCTTTCAGCCATCTGCAAAGTCAGTATCTCCACTCCCTTCTAGAACAAGAAATGTTTTTCTTACCACTCTGGATTACAGTTTAATATTAAATACTGAAAGAATATGTTATTTCTATTTCTAATACTTAATTTTATCAACATCATGTATCCATTTCTTTTTCTTCATTGCCTTTTCTATCATATCCTGATTTCCCTGAGTTTATTTCACAACTTAGAGAAATGTTTAACAGTATTCTTCTTTAACTCTGAATGGACAAGTCTGCAATATCAACCTTAATGTGTAAAAATGTGTTTATTTTAGAGATAGACAGATCTCTGTGAATTTGAGGCCAGCCTGGTCTACAAAGTGAATCCAGAACAGCTAGGGCTAAACAGAGAAATACTGTCTTGAAAAACCAAAACCAAAAAAACAAAAAATGTACTTATTTTTACCTTTAAATCAGTCGAAATTCCATAGTAACATTCAGTTTTCCGCTCATGATTCCAAAGGTATCACTCCCAAAGAGTGTTTCTTTGGTCTTCTGCGTATTGTTGACATAAAATGTGTATTTCCAATGAGCAACAACTAGACTCACGGTATTCTGGCTTCTCTGTTTGGCAGCTTTTAGGTTGAATTGTTTCTGGTCTGTTGTTCCACTCTGGTTTCTTTTAATAAGATGTCTCAGTGGATTATTTTTTTTCTTATCCTGCTTAATAGTCCAAATGTATTGAGTTCTTCTGTTAGTTTCTTTTTGTTTCTTTGAGACTGTCTCACTATGCAGCTCTGGCCATCCTGGAACACACTATGTGGACCAGGCTGCCCTTGAACTAACAGCAATCCTGCCTTTGTCCCCCAAGTGCTGGGATTTACACACGTGCCCCAACTGGTTTGAAGCATATTTCTAATTGAGGAATCTAGTTTTTCTCACATTCTAAAGACCATGCCCGCCCACCCTCCCCTCTCCTCTTTACGGTATGTATGGGACGTCTGTGTGTGGTGTATGTGCACATTCTATTGTGCCTGTGGATGCAAGAATACACATGTACCATGTGGAGAACAACTTATGGTGCTAACCCTTCCTTCTACCTTCTCATTGTTTTCTACATGTGCCAGGAAAGCTGACCCATGAGCTTCTGGGATTCTGCCATATCTACTTCCCATTTTGTTGCAGGCATGCTGGGATCACAGATCTTCATCTGTCTTTATGTGGGTTCTGGGGATCTGAACTCTAGTCTTCACAGTCGACAGGAAGCACTTTATCCTCTGATCAATCACTTCAGCCCTCCATTATCTCTACCAATTACTTATTATTTTTCTGTCTTCTCTCTTACATGCCTATGAAATACAAGCTAGAGCTTCATGTTGTTTTGTTGTATGAAATAGCATCTGATTCAGTACCAATCAAGCTGGTCTCAGGCTCATAGCAATCCTATCTAAACTGAAATCTACTGTCAAATCTTCAGAAACACCACTTTAACCCCGCAAAGCGATCATTTAACCAAAGCACATAAAATAAGTTGCTCTCAGATGGAAACTTGTAAACATTCTCATTCTGAACTGTCTAGATGTTACTATATATATGCTATGAATCACAAGCAAAGAAGTTAGTTAATGGCTCAAACACATGCATGAATACTTATTTTACAAACCACAACCATCTTAATAAACTCACACTACATTGCTAGTATAGAAGCTCTATGATCTCTACAAATAATCAGATATTCTATCCATGAATACCTCTAGACATTTGTTTTAAGCTCAAAATTCTGGCTGTTTGCCACACATCTGCTGTCATTAGTAAAATTAAAACTAATTTTACTAAACTCAAACCATCTGAATGCTCCTTAAAAATTTAAGGATGTCTTAGCAAGCCTCTACCCTTAATGAGCTGCTCCTGACTTTCTCGTGTGATTTGAATTATTCAAAAGTCAATTTCAAACTCTTAAGTATATAAATTATCTTTCAATCAAGCAATTACTTGGTGTCTATCTGATAGCTAACAACGTCTAATTTGGCCTAGGCAAATCTTAAAAAAGAGCCCAAAATAAAACTGTCAATACACAATGTATTTCTACTATAAGACAATTAAGCTAAAATTTTTACTACACTCAGCAGAAAAAAAGGAAATCAACCCATGGATGTCAATTTTAAAGATTCTGTACAGTGGAGCCAACATTCAATATTTTTGCCTGAGTTTATGTTTACCTAAGAAAACTACTATATAATATGTGGTTTTAATTATTTCATCAACTATTTCTTTCTCTATTGTGTCTTTATAAGAAGCGCACACTGGATTCTGGAATTTAGACACTCATTACACATTCTATTCCTTCAACCAGTAATATCCAAGTCTAAAAATTTAACAATTAATTAATTTCGTGTGTATATATGTACATATGTATACGCACACATATGTGTATGCTATGCTATATGTGTGGAAGTCAGAAGATTTATTAGAATGGTTTACAGACTGTGGTCCTGCTAGTCCAACAACTGTCTACCAATGGAAGGTCCAAGAATCCATAGTTGTTCAGTCCACAAGGCTGTATGTTTTGGCAGTTTTCAGGACATACTGGAATCCAGAAGTAGGCACTAATGCCAGTGAAGGAATGGATGTGATTAGCAGGCAAAGAAAGAGCAAGCTTCCTTCTTCCATGTCTTATATATAGGCTGCCAGCAAAAGGTGTGGCCCACATTAAAGGTGAATCTTCCCACCTCAAAAAGCTGAAATAGAAGTGGGTCCTTCCACTTCAAACGATTTAATTAAAAAAAAAAAAAATCCCTTACAGGCATGCCCAGCCATTTGGGTTTCAGTTAGTTCCAAGATGTAGTCAAGTTGACCAAGAAATCTATTGCAATGGGGGACCTTAAGAGTGAAGATACTGTACTTTTTTTTTTTTTTTTTTTTGAGTAGATTTTGTTCTGTGGACAAATGAAGCCAGGGAAAAGCTGTAAAAGAAAGGGACTCAATCCATTTTTTAAAGATCATACTGCTATCTGGAAAATAGATATAAAAGGAAAGAGTAGAAGCATAATGTGAGCTGGGCATGGTGGCACACACCTACAATCTAGCACTTAGGGAGGCAGAGGCAGGTAGATCTCTGTGAGTTCGAGGACAGCCTGGTCTACAAAACAAGTCCAGAATAGCCAAGGCTACACAGAGAAATCCTGTTGAAAAACCAAATAAATAAATAAATGAATAAATACTTAAGTAGAAAAATAAAGAAGATGAAGAAGCAGGGTATGGTAGTTTGAATGAGAATGAGCCCCACAGACTCTCTTATTTGAATGCTTAGTCTCCAATTGATGAACTGTTTGGGAAGGATTAGGAGGTGTGGCCTTGTTGGAAGAGGTGTGTCACTGGGGGTGGGCTTTGAGGTTTCAAAAGCCAAAAGCAGGCCAAGTGTCTCTTTCTTTGCTCGCTGTCAGCTAATCAGGATGTAGCTCTCAGCTATTTCTCCAGCACCATGCATCTATGCATTCCCATCTGTCACCACACTCCCCACCCTCTGAATCTGTAAGGAAGCTCTCAATTAGATGCTTGCTTTTATAAGAGTTGCCTTGGCTACAATGTCTCTTCATAGCAATAGAACAGTAACTGAAACACAGAGGAGACAGCTACTGCAGTAATCCAGTTAAGGGAAGAGGATCTCTCAACAGTAGGCTAGCAATAAGGAAACCAGTGGGCTTGTAGATTCATGGCATAGTCAACCACTTAACTGTTCACTATGTCTATTAAAATGTCCAATGGGTGCCTAAGGGTCAGATGTCCAAAAACAACTCATTTTATTATAAATATCCTTTCACTTTGGCATTTGCAACTTTTTAAGCTTTATTTACTTATTTGTAGGTGTCTGGGGTGGGGGGGGATAAGAGCACATGCCACAATACAGGTATGAAAGTCAGAGAATGACTCTGTAGTAGGATCTTTCCTTCTAACTTTACCTGATTATGGGGATTGAAATCAGATTCTCAGGCTTGTGCAGGGAGTACCTTTACCCATCGAGTCATCCTGCTGGCCTTGTATTTGTAATTTTAGAAATCAATGAAATCATTTACACAATTGCCATTTTTCTTTACACAACTCTTTCCTTCATTAAGTCAATTGCCAAGTTCTAATTAGTTCATCTACTCCTTTTTAAAAGTATTGTTTATATTAGAAGATGCAGCTCAATATTAGCACTTGCCTAATACATGCAAGGCTCTGGATTTTAAAAAAAAAATCTACAATTTAAAAAAATATATATATTTACAATTAATCCTTGTTTAAATTACTGCTTTCACGTTCCCTGTTCCCTCCTTTTTTGCAACCTGTGTGTTATTTTGCAGCAAACCATCCTTCCGAAATTTACAGACCAAATCCAGCCTCTGCTCAGGCTCCTCTCAGACACTGACAGGTACTCTATGGGGACAATATCTGTGAAACCCCCACCCTAAGCATTTGCCAATGCCATGACATCTCACCTGGCAAGTAAATCCACACCAGATAGGTGCCATGTCTTGTTCTCAACCCAGTTCTGCCTCCTACCTGGGAAGCAGAGAGCCTGGTTGCAGGCTCTAGCTATAAGGTCAAAGCCAGCCTGGCAGCTTAATAAGATCTTGGGAAGGAAAGGAGGAAGGGAAAAAAGAAGGGAAGAGGGAGGCAGGGAGAGAGGGAGGAAAGAAAGGAAGCTGATGGACTAGTAAGATGCCTTGGTGAATACAGGTGTTTGTCACACAAGTCTGACGATACAGATTTGATCCTCCAAACCCACACAAAGGTGGAAGGAGCAACAACTTTACAAAGCTGTACTCTAAGCGCCATATATGCACACATGTTCATACATGTGTATACACACACAATAATAATAATAATAATAATAATAATAATAATAATAATAATAATAA